ATGAACAACTCTACGCCCACAAATTCAATAACTTACATGAAATGGACCAATTCCTTGGAAGGACAAATCTATCAAAACTCACACAAGAAGAAACAGACAATGTAAATAGGCGTCTATCTATTAAAGAGATTAATTCATAAGTTAACTACCTTCCAAGACAGAAAGCACCAGGCCCACCCAGATGGGTTCACTGATGAATTCGACCAAACATTTAAGGAAGAAATTATACCAGTTGTCAACAATCTCTCTTTTTTTTTTTTTAGATTTTATTTATTTATTTGAGAGAAAGAGAGAGAGAGCAGGAATACAAGCAGGGGGAGTGGGAGAGGGAGAAGCAGGCCCCCCGCCAAGCAGGGAGCCTGATGCAGGGCTTGATCCCAGGACCCTGGGATCATGACCTAAGCCGAAGGCAGACACTCAACGACTGAGCCACTCAGGCGCCCCAACAATCTCTTTCAAAGGACAGAAGCAAAGGGAGTACTTCCTAACTCATTTTATGAGATCAGCATTACCCTAGTAACAAAACCAGACAAGGCATTACAAGAAAACTATAGACTAATATCTCTCATGAAAATAGACACAAAAATTCTTAACAAAGTATTAGCAAATCAAATCCCAAAAAGTATAAAAAGAATTATATACCATAACCAAGTGGGATCTGTCCCAGGTATTCAAGGCTCTTCCAACATTTGAAAATCATTGAAAGATCACATCAACAGATTAAAGAAGAAAAGTCACTTGATCATATCAATAGATGGAAAAAAGCATTTGACAAAATCCCAAACCCATTCATCATAAAACCTCTCAGTAAACTAGGAATAGAAAGGAACTTCCCAACTTGATAAAAGACTATCTTCAAAACACCTACAGCTCACCTCATACTTAATGATGAGAAACTTGAAATTTTCCCACTAAGATCAGGTCTACAAGGCAAGGGTGTCACCTCTCACCACTCCTTTCAACATCATGTTGGAAGTCCTTGCTAATGCAGTAAGGCAAGAAAAGGAAATAAAACATATACAAATTGGGAAGGAAGACATAAAACTGTCTTTGTTCACAGATAAGGTGATATCTATATAGAAAATCCAAAAGAATCAACAAAAAACTCCTGGTACTAAATGTGATTTTAGCAAGGTTTCAGGATACAAGGTTAATACACCAAAGTCAATTACTTTCCTATTTATCAACAATAAATAAGTGAAATTTGGAATTAAAAGCACAGTATCATTTATATTAGCTCCCCCCAAAATGAAATTCTTAAGTATAAATCTAACAAAATATCTACAAGATCTACACATAGAAAACTGAAACTCTGGTGTATGAAATCAAAGAACTAAATAAAGACAGAAATGTTCCATGTTCATGAACAGGAAGAGTCAATATTGTCAAGGTGCTAGTTCTTCCCAACTTGACCTATGGATTTAATGCAATCCCAATCAAAATCTCATCAAGTTATTTTATGGATATCAGCAAAATTATTTATATAGCGAGCAAAAGTTTATATAGAGAAGCAAAAGATCCAGAACAGCCAACGCTCCAATATAGAAGGAGATGAACAAAGTTAGAGGACCAGTGCCACCCAACTTTAAGACTCACTATAAAGTTACAGTGACCAACACAGTATCGTATCAGTGAAAGAACAGACAAATAGAACAACAGAACAGAATAGATAGCTCAGAAATAGACCCCAGAAATATAGTCAACTGATCATTGATAAAGAAGCAAAGATAATCACCGGGGCAATGATCATCTCTTCAACAACTGGTGCTAGGAACAACTGGACGTTCACATGCGAAAATGAATATAGACATAGACATTATACTCTTCACATAAGTTAAGTCAAAATGGCTCATAAGCCTAAATGTGAAATGCAAAACTGCAAAACTCCTAGGGGATGACATAGGAGAAAACCTAAATGACCTTATTGATGATGATCCTTTTTAGATACAACACCAAAGATATGATCCATGAAAAAAAAATAATGGATCAGCTGGACTTCACTAAAATTAATAAATTCTGCTCTGTGAAAGACAATGTCAAGAGAACAATTAGATGAGCCACAGATGGGAGAAAAAATCTGCAAAAAACACATCTGATTAAAAAAAGTGTTATCTAAAATTTACAAAGAGCTCTTAAAAATCGAAAATAAGAAAACAACCTAATTAAAAAATGGGCCGAAGATCTTAACAGACACCTTACTAAAGAAGATAATGCAGATTGCAAATAAGCATATAAAAACAAGGTTTCACATCACACATCATTAGGGAAATGCAGATTAAAACAATTTGATACCACGACACACTTACAGAATGGCCAAAATCTGGAACACTGACAATGCCAAATGCGGGCAAGGCCGTGGAGTAATGGGAACTCTCATACGTTACTAGTGGAAATGCAAAGTGGTATAGACCGTTCAGTGGTTTCCTACAAAACTAAACATACTCTTGCCATATGATCCAGCCATTACTCTCCTTGGTATTTACCCAAAGAAGCTGAAAGCAAGTTCACACAAAATCTTGCACACAGATGTTTTTAACAGGTTTATTCAAAATTGCCAAAATTTAGAAGGGCCCAAGATGCTCTCCAGTAGATGAATGGATAAACTGTGGAACACCAGACAATGGAAATATTATTCAGTGCCAAAAAGAAATGAGCTTTCAAGCCATGAATAGACATGGAAGAACCTTAAATATATATAGGTAAGCAAAAGAAACCAATCTAAAAAGGCTATGTACTGTATGATTCCAAATATATTGTATTCTGAATAAGGCAAAACAATGGTCAGTAAAGAGATCAGTGGTTGCTAAACGTTGGGGAGGGGGAGGGATGAACAGGCAGAGCACAGAGAATTATTAGGGCAGTGCAAATACTCTGTATCCTATTATGATGATGGATATATGTCATTGTACATTTGTCCAAACCCATAGAAAGTACAACACCAAGAGTGAGCCCTAAGGTAAACTACAGACTTCGGGTGATTATGATGTGTCAGTGTAGATTCATCCTTGGTAACAAATGCATCATCTGGTGGGGAATGTTGGTAGTGGGGGAGGCTATGTATGTGTGGGGGGCACAGAGTAAGGGGAACTCTCTGTACCTTCCTCTCTGTTTTGAACCTTAAACTGCTCTCTAAAAAATTAAGTCTCAATTATTTTTCAAATAAGAAAATTAAAAAGTCAGCAAAAGATATGAACAGGTATCTCACCAAATAAGATATACAGATGACAAACAAGCATATTAAAAGATGCTCAATGTCATATGTCAATAGGGAATTGCAAAATAGAACAATAACATACCATTACATACTTATTAGAATGGCAAAAATACAAAAGACTGACAATACCAGATGTTGGAGAAGATGTGAAGCAACAGGAATTCTCATTCATTGCTGGTGGGAATGCAAAATGATACAGCCAATTTGTTAAACTGTTTGCCAGTTTTTCACAAAGCTAAACACAATCTTACCTTATAATCCAAAAGTCATGCTCTTAGCTATATGCCCAAATGAGTTGAAATGAATGTCCATACAAAATCCTGAACATAAATGCTTATAACAGCTTTATTCGTAATTGCCAAAATTTGGAAGCAACCAAGATATCCTTCAATAGGTGGATGAATAAACTGTGGTACATCCAGACAATGGAATACTATTCAGCGCTAAAAAGAAATGAGCTATCAAGCCATGAAAAAACATGGAGGAACCTTAAATGCATACTGGTAAGTGAAAGAATCCAATCTGAAAAGGCTATACACTGTATGATTCCAAATATATGACATTTTAGAAAAGGCAGAACTATAGAAACACTAAAAAGATCAGTGGTTGCCAAGAGTTGGGGAGGAGGGGCTGCACGTGACTCATGGACAAAAGCCAGGTGGGAGCCCTGGGCTCACCCTCAAGCTTAGCCAGAGAGATTCAGACCAGGGGGTTGCTTTCCAGGAGTCTGGGAAGACAGACCCATTAGTATCCATGAGAGGTGAAACAAGAGAATGGGCCAGGGAAAGCTTTCTCCCAAGGAAGCGAGGAGGAGGGGCGCCTAAGCAGGCAGAGCTGGCCACCTCCCACTGCTACCCAGAGCATCCTACACTGGTTCACAGGCCCCAGAGAAGCACACCTGCGCAAGAGGTAAGGGGCATATGCACACGCCTGTGTGTGTGGACACATCTGCAAACACAGGCAGGCGTCTTGTGACACCTGGTCTTCTTGAGGAAATCTTCATCTGGCCTTGCATGTCAGCTCTGCTTCCGTGGCCTCTCCCTCTCCCCTGGAATGCTTTCTCTGTCTTTGGTGCTCCCAAGACGTCTAGACACCTTCTACACACAGTGTGAGGGGACTGTCTTTGATCCCTACAGGTCTCTCCCTACTAGACGGAGTGACCTGAAGACAGGAACAGCATCTTGTTCACCCTGTATCCTCCTCGGTGCCTGCACATGGTCAGGAGCTCATGAATGTGTGAGTGAGTGAGTGAGTGAGTGGAAGAAGAAAAGGGCTTAGGCAAAGGCCTGTGGGGACCTTAGAGCAGGAATCATAAGGCACATAAGTCGTGGGAAGACCACCGGCTAGTTGTCAGCCTCCATCAAGTCTGGGGCCAAGGTCTGTAGCAACTTTCACATGACTATGAAGAGTCATGACTGTCCTGAGGTCTGTCTTCCTGATGAGACTGTGAGCCCCACAAGGGCAGCCCTGGCCTTGCTCCATCCTGCTGTCCCCCAGCACTCCTCTAACACCATGCCTGGCACCGAGCTGGTAACTTGCAAATATTTTTGGAAGGGAGGAGAATAGAGCTTAAGTGACGTGTAATAGTATGTAAGGGTAACAGTGCTCCTCTGGGCCACTGGGAAACAATGAGGCATCAAGGCACAGACACTGACCACAAAGGACTTCCTCTCACACAGGCATGCTCTGTCCCCAAGCAGCTGTCATGAAGGGGGTTGGGGGGGCGGGGGAGCAAACTGGGCCTACACAGGTGGGCCCTGCCCCGCTAATACGGGGAGATACTCACTGGGAACAGTTGTGGTCTCCCCAGGAGGGCCGGTCAGCGTCACTGGGATATGCACAGTAGCACTCAGGTCGGACGGTTGACTGCCCATCCGTGTGACATTCCGCTGATTATCTGCATCCTCTGGCTGTTCCTCCACCTTCTGTAGACAAGTGCTGGGCAGTGCATGCACAGGGCCCACACCCATTATCCCACTGGCCTCCAGGTCACAGTGTGCCTCCCTGCAACCAAGAATGCACATCAGAGTCTGATTCGGCCCCAAACTGCTCTTCAGTCTGCAAAATCCAGCTCCTTATGCCCCTATCCAGACCAAATAAATCCCTGACCACGTCCTCTGCTACTCTGGCATTTCATATGGTTTTTATCACTTTGTACATTTCTGTGTTTTTAGGTCTGAAGGGTAAAATGGGGCTGACTCACCTGTCTGTCCCTGGCACAAGACCAGGCATGGCTAGCATCACAATATGTATAGAAAGGGAACTGTCTGCAGAATGAAGAAGCCTATAAGAGGATGTTTCCCTAAGCTACTCCACCTAGAGCCCCACCAGACCAAAAGGCCCAACACAGAGCTCTGCACAAAGACAGTGCCTGGACTGGGCTGATCCTGAGTGGTCATCTCCAGCTGCATGAGCTCTGGGAGGCTGGTGGCCTTTGCCTGGGGGCTCCCGTTACCCCAGGTTTCTCCCAGAGTCAGAGTCAGATCCTGGCCCAGCTGCGCAAGGGTAGGAGGCCCTCTGTGCCGTGGCCACCCAGCCCGGCCCTATTCTCTTCTACCATTGGCCCAGTGGCCTCCTCGGGCCTTCCTCAGTCTCCCCCCAATTTTCTCTTTTCCCTGGGCCACTATGCTCTTCCCACGCCAACATGTCCCAAACCACTCCCAACAATCTCCCCCATGCCCTCTTTCCCACCTGGGTACCTTAGAATAATGGCTGACATTCACTGAGCATACCCTGCCCCCCACACAGTTTTAAGCATTCCACACGTCACCCCCAACAAGGCAGGACTGCCACCGCCGCAGAGAGCTGGAAACAGGGCGGGGAGGACCAGCCAGAACAGGTGCCGCGGGGCAGCTCTGCACCCTGAGCCCTGTGGACCCCGCGCACCCCGGCCCCCACCCGGCCAGCGGCTCCGCCCGCCACCCGCACGCGCACGCCCTCACTTGGGCTGGTGGTTCCGGAGCTCCTTCTCCTTGTCCCGGTCCTCGGCCTCGCCCTCCTTCTCCGCCGCCTCCTTCTCCACATCCTCGTGCGTGGGCAGCGCCTTGTGCCGGGCCCGGTGCCGCCGCGCTGGCTCCTCCCCGCTCCCGGCCTCCCTGGGCCCGGCCCGCGGGCCGCCGCGGTGGCGCGCTCGCCGCTCGCCCTTGGCCGCGGCCGCGCCGCCTTCCTTGCCCTGGGCGGGTGCGTGCCTGTGCGCGCGGTGGCGCCGCGGCTCCCGCTCGGCCGCCTCCTCTGGGGAGGCGCGCCGGTGGTGGCGCCGGCCGCCCTCGGGGCCCGGGCCGCGGCCGCGCTCGCTCCGGGTCTCCTTGCTGCGGCTGCGGTGCGGCCTCGCGCGCTCCTCCCGGGCCCCGGGCTCCGCGCGCTCGGCCTTCGGCGCGTCCCCCCTGTCCTCCCCCGCTGCCGCCGGGGCCGGGGCCGGGGCCGGGGCCGCGGCCTTGTCGCGGTGCCGGTGGTGCCTGCGCGGCGGGTCCGCGCCCTCGGCAGCCTCCGGGCCCTCGGGCCGGGCCTTGCCGCCCGAGGCGACCCGCGGCCCGTCGCGGCCGAGCTCCACCACGAGCGGCCGGTCCAGGTGCGTCTTCATGTCAGGCCGCAGGTGGCGCGTGGTGGCGTAGCGCAGCCTCTCCTCGGGGTCCATCTCGCTGTACAGCGCCTCGCAGCTGGCCCTCAGGTTCTGCAGCCGCAGCTGGCTGGCGCGCTGCTCCCACACCGAGCGCGCCTTGGCCGAGTTCTGCGGCCTGCTGTGGGGAGACCGGCGGTGAGCGGCCGCCCCCCGCGCCGCCCTCCGACCTCTCTGCCTCCCAGGGGAAGCCACAGATGGACGCAGCGATGGAGGGGTGGCAGAGTGGCGCAGGGAGGAGAGGGAGGGAGGGGGTGGCCGGAGCCCTCGAGACCCCTGGCAATCGGTGCAGAGCAAGTAGGGGATACGCAGGGTAACAAGAATCCAGCACCGCCCCCACCCCATCAGGATCCCAGCGATTGTGAGAGCACCAGCCTGGGGGTCGGGGTGGGGGGCTCAAGGCCACCCTTGAGCAGGTGTACAGGGGCCCTTGGCCAAGGGATGCAGGGCAGTGGGAATGATAGGCACCAGCGTGAGGTGGCAGACAGGCTTCCAGGGCGGGTGGGCTGCTGGCCAGGAAGGCCAACATGGGGAGAGGAGGGGATCAGCATCCAAATGGGGCAGGACTGAGGAAGAGGCAGGAGGCAGGGAGCCCTCTGCAGCAGCCCTGGGGCATTGGCCTTGCTGCAGCATAGAGCAGAGCTGCCCAGGAAGGGGCTTCTCCATCTCCACTTCCAGAAAAACAGCCACTGGCCAGAAGGAGACAGGGCTGTTTGTGAGAGGCCCTGAGAAGAGGTGGGTCCTCAGGACAGGGCAGGCAGCAGCCCAGGGAGCAAGGGGCCAGGGGCAGTGGGCCCTATCAGGGGCAAAGGGTAAGCTGTGACTGCTCCCTAAGGTGGTCAGCCCCATCCGGGCAGCTGCCCCTCGGCTCAGTGACCACTTGCTCCCAGCAGCCCAGCAGTTAGGTCTAGCGCTAGACATGCTACCTCCTCAGTGCCCTCCACTCTCCTGGCTCCACAGAGAGCCCCTTCCGTCCACCAGGGCAGAGAGGAGCCCTCCAACACCAGGACTAGCCTGTGCTTCAGTCTCAGCCCTCACTGCACAGGCTACCGAAGGGCTGACCACCCTCCAGCCTCACCCACAGGGTCACATGTGGGGCGCCACAGCCCTTTGCATTCTGGAATCCGTGCTGAGTAAGGCCTCCAAATTAGGCGACCCCAGTCCCACCTTGGCCAAGCGGAAACCTCATCTGAGGCCAGAGTCTTGTCCTTCAGCCTCTGGAGGTTTCTGGACCCACCGTGGTGGTGGTGGTGGCATCTGTATTCAGAGCCCCACTGGGCTGTGGGCTGCAGTGCCCATCTCATCCAACCCTCACAACTACCTCTTGTCCCTATTTCACAGATGAAGACACGAGCCAGAAGGCACGACTCCTAGAGGGCCCCACAGCACGTCACTGACGCAGCCAGGATCAGACTCACGCAAAGGCAAAACAGAAAAAAGGTATCTGCAGAGGTGAGGCCTTGGCCACACCCCAACCACACTGACAGCACAGGGTCACAGCCTGGGGGGCCCCAGACCAGGGCCCAGGCTGGGCAGGCCACCAGCAGCAGGGCCCTGACCCACTGAGCACCATGCTGACCTGCAGAGTCAGAGATGGCCAGGTGTGGGAAAAGCCCAACCCCTGCAGCTGGCCTGCACAAAGTGTGTGATGCCGAATCCTGCCCCTTTGGAGGTGAAGTCCAGGCTCCAGTGTGGGGAGTGCCTCAAAAGTATGAAAGCAGAAGAGCACCATGTCTACCTCTCACCTGGGAGCCCATATGGTGGGCAGGCAGGGCAAGGCTGGGGGACAAGTGTTGGCCTCTCTGGCCATCTGCTAACTGACACCTTCGACTGCCACGCCAGGCCCTGACCCGCCTCCTCTGACACATCCAAGCTGGGCTTCCCTGCTCCCGGAGACACCTTGCAACAGACCCACCACCTTCTGTTTCTTGGACTTCAATCTAGAGCCCAGGGGACCTACCCATCCCAGCCTGGCACCAAAACAAAGGACCAAACTCTGAACAATGCTGAACCATGTGAAATGGATGATAGGAGCCCATGAGGGCTGATGGCCAGCCAGTCCAGCAGCTTGACACAGACCTGGACTCCGCGCCATTTGGTCGGCAGAGTTAGTGTTAGATGCCAGTTCTCCGTCAGAACAGACAGGCAATAAAGACGGGAGACAATGTGGTGGCTGGGAGCTCAGGTGAGGATGGGCTCCTGATGACATGGTTCTGCCCTCAACCTGACCCTAGCCACAGCTCCTTCTGCCCCAGAGACCAGCTAAGCTTCACAAAGAGGTGACCTGTCCACTAAAGTAGAGGGTACCACAGGGCTGGCAGACTCTCCTAGAACTTCCCAGGGGAGCAAGACACTGAGCAGCTGGGGTCACATGGCCCCACCTGGCCCTGCTCCTGCTGGGTCTCCCTCTCTGGGCCATAATGCCACCTGAAAAGGTCTACCTACCCACCACTCGGTGATGTCCTGGCTTCCTCTCTGGCTATGTCTCTGAGTCCGTGCACCAGGCCTCCCCTCCTTGTTGGCATCTGAGTCGACCTGCACCCACCTGGTTGCTGTCCTGTCCTTGCTCTGTCTGGCCCATAAAGTAGTGTGACCACCCCTGGTCTCATTCTGCACCTCTCCACCGAGTTCACAAGCAGCAAGGATATGCGAGCGAATGTCAGGCCACCATCTGACACAGTGACAATAATCCAGACGAAGTCCTTATTTAAAAAGGCTCTTTAAGGAGTCACATGGGGGAGCTGCTCCCACAATGTCTCAACCCCAGCTTGCTGGTATAGCCCTATTCGGTCACACCCAACCCAGGCACTGTGGATGCTGCAGGGCCCAAAAAGGAGCCTCAGTGGCATGGCCCTGCTTTGAGGTCTCTGGGCTAAAAGAGCCAGTTCCCCAAAGCTGCTGACAATGTGAAGCAGCCCTCACTGTGACACCATCAGTACCTACAACCACATCTTACTCCACCTGTGATCAGTCATCCGGGGCCCAACTTTCTTACCCTGTGAGACATCAGGGACCCAATAGCCAGCAGCTCCAAGTGCTTGTGAGCAAGCACACCTGAGGTCTATGCTGGCTGAGTAGGGAGCAAGTGGCTCAGAGAGGGCAAGAGCTCCCACACCACCGAGACCCAGAGAGGACACCTGGCTACCCCATCCATCCAGGTGGGCGGACCACACCCAACCACTCCAGGGACTTCTCACCTGCAGCGGTCGGTCTCACCCTTGAGAGGAAGCCCCTGGAGGCAAGCATCCCAAGACCACTTCCCCAGTCAGAATGGTGTCACCTCCAAGAGGGACACACTGGGGTTTCTGTGGCTCTACTCAGGCTCTGGCTGGTCTAACATGACACAGCAGCTCTGCTCTTGCTAGGACAACTTCCTAAGGATCACAGATCCATCCCCTCCCAAGTCAAAAAGGGAGGGGGCAGGAGGACCCCACGAATATCCTCAATGAGTCCTACTGAACACTCTACCTCGTGGGAACCACAAGGAGACAGCGCCCATTGGTGCCCAGCAACGGCCACCTCAGGAGAAGCAGATACATGCTCAAGACGCCAGAGAGACGGCACGTGGACAGACAGCAGACAAGAGGACCAGGAGGGAGAGGAGGGGCTGAACTCAGAGTCTGATGCCTGTGAGCAGGACTTGGGAACGTCAGGAAGCATGCCCACCGTCCCCCAGCAGCTGCAGAAGGCTTTCCTGGAGCTGCCCCTGAAGCGAGTGATTTGAGGTGGGAAAGCAGTTAGGAGTGGAGGGAGGTTCGCGTGTAGCTGCCATGAAGCACAGACGGTGTCCTAGCCGAGCAACTCACGGTGAGTTTACGCTGGAGACAGATGAGCTGCGAGATGCAGCACCTCGAGTGTGCTTTACAAAACTGCACATGCAAAAAACAGAACAAAAGAGAAGTGAGAAAACCAGAGAGGGTTCTAAGGGACACAGAACACGTTTAAGCCACGTCAGGTCAGGGCACAGGCTGCAGTATGCATCTGGGCAGGGGGCCAGGGACGCTTCCATCAGAACGGGCACCAGCTGAGACCTCGGGGTAAAAGAGAGGTTGAGAAAGAACGCGCATCCGACGGAACAGTGGCACTGAAAAGAACACGGCACACCCACCATGGCTGGAAGACAAGAAGCTGCAATCTGGGGGCCCATCCACTACAGCTCAGCACACGCTGCCTGCCCACGAAGGGCAGTGGGGTTGGAAAGAGCCAGCACCATGTGTCCCTAAGTTCCAGATGGCTCTCCCCTGCCACTTGGTGTCCTGCTCCCACGGGGCCATAGTGGGATGACCTCTGCATTTGCCTTGCCTTTGAGATGGGGCAAAGCCAGCTAACACAGAACACCTTACCTTTGGGCTCTACCTGAGCCCTGCTGCCTGACCACCTGCTCTGCCCTAGCCCACCTGACTCCTTGGCTCCTCAGGCTCTACACCAGGTGCCTCCAGCTCACCATGACCCGCCCAGGGGCAAGCAGGCTACATCACCAACCCACTTCCCCCATTTCCCAGTGACTTTCAGGAAGCTTTTCCAAAACCAACAGAGAAGCCAAAAATCTCTATGATCATTCCCCTTTAAGGCAGTTTCCCCAGGGGAGGACCACATGGCTTCCCAGCTCCTCCTTCTCAAAGCCAAGTCTACACACATTTGTGAGGAGCTCAGAGCAACTCCTCCACCTGCAGGTCCTGGATGCAAACAGGTGTGTGGGTCTGTGCAAGTGCGTGTGTGAGAAAGAGTGTGCAAATCAGTGTGTGACTGGGTGTGAGTGCGTATATGGTGTGTAGGAGTGTGGATGTGTGTGAACGAGTGTGAGGCTGTGAATGAGCATGTGTGTTCATGTGAACATGTGTGAGAGTCCAGGTGTGTGTGATTGTGTGTGAGCATGAGTGTGTGTGACAGTGAGTGTCAGGGGGACTGAATCATGTGAGGTAAGTGAACAGTGTGGGTGAGTGTGTGTACCAGCATTCAGAAGTCCAGGTGAGGAGAAGGGTAACCGAGCTCAGAGAACCAGGAGGACCATGCCAACCTTAGCGACCCTTCCCTCCCAGGAGCCTGAAGTGGCTGTCACCTGAGGCTGCAGCCCAACTCCAAGGCACGGAGGCTCAGTGCAGCCGCACAGAGCCCAGGGGAGCCTCTCAAAGAGCAAGGACACTAAGGGCCCCTCTGCATCCAAGGCATCACAGAGAACATCTGGACCAGTCCTCCCACTTCACAGACCACATGGCATGGCTGCGCGGAGCTGGGTCAAGATGAGTGTCACTCAGGGGCCTCGCCCGCACCCCAACCCAGCAGTGGGGATGAAGCAGCGTTGCCCATTCACCCAGCACGACTCACGGGGAGAACAGAAACAGTTGGGAGGGTGGGGGGCAACGGACAGACAGAGGACAGACGGACACCAGGAGCTCTGAGCCTCGGCCTTCAGTGCTCAGAGGTCTCCACACAAAGAGGAGGGCAAACACCAACACACCCACCACCCACACACCCGGGAGTTCAGACCTGGTCTGAAGTGTGCAGGAGCTTCAGTGATCACATCAGACAGACTGCCATCTGACAGAGGCAGACTGAGGACATGCCACAGGGGACAAAGGCCTAAAGCTGCATCCCAGGAGAACCTGCAGGACCGACAGCTAGCCCAAGAAGGGGGAACGCAGAAGCCAGGGCCTGCACGCACCCAGGCTGACATGACATGAATGAGCTGGCACCAAGCTCAGGCCCCACTGTGAGGCAGAACACCTGGGTAACCCCGGGAGCTCCATCCAGGAGAAGAGAAGCACCGAGATGGTGATCAGGCCAACGGCTGGTGTAATACACCCTGGGCCTGGGTATACCAGTCTGTAGCCTTGTACCTACATAGCAGTGTCCCCAGATGAGGACAGGGGCAGAGGAAGAACATCCAGACCTGTCCTGGTGGCCTGACATGTTCTCCATGGTTGTGCTGAGGGCCCCAGCACCTGCCTCTCTGAGGTCTCAGCCCCGATGGGAATGGACGCCCTGCCATACATCCCTAAGGCGTAGGCAGCTCTGGCAGGTATAGGGCCCATGGGACAATGCACTCACCTCCAAGAGCAGAGAAGGCAAATGCTGAACAGAAACCCACAAGGCCCATGAATAAGTCAAAGACTCACCTGTTCCCTCTGCTAAAGCAGACCACCAGCAGTTTACAAAGTTCAGGAGAAGGGGCCATCTTCCAGGTCACCACAACCTCCTCAAAGCAAGCCCAGGACCAGGCTGACCAAGTCGTTGAATTGGCCAAACAAAACACAGACAACTGAGCTCGGAGCCCCCCAGTAGCTGCCTTCGTAATGACTGCTGTGTCCTGCCTAGCTACCTGCAGGCCGCCTGCATCCCTGCCTGGGCCCCCCAGGGGTCTGCGGCCTCCTCTAGCTTCTTCTCCCCCACAGGGGCCAGGGCTTCCTGGCTGGCTTAAGGGCAGGTCCTCTGCAAAGGCCCTCCTAGGAAACAGGCCATCACGCTGGGGACTGCTGGACAAGAACAGGGCTGTTGTCGTGCTCACTGACCAGCACACCCACGCTCCCGGCAAACCCACCCACCCATTCAGCAGCACGGATGCATGTGTCACCACAGATGTGCCCGTGGCTGCTCCTGGGAACAGGGAGAGGGAGGGAGGCCAGCTGGATCCCCACGGGAATGGGAGGTATGTGGTGGGGTGGGCGTGGCACCAAAGACAAGTCAGCAGTCCCAGGCGGACTCAGCCTGGCCTGGAGCGCGAGCTCCCAACAAAAGGAGAGCTCCTCGGTGCCCTCTCACAGCCACCCTGATACTAGGCCAGACTTCCTCCCTCCTTCCATTCCTCCCTGCGCCCCCATGGGTGGCCTCCCCCAGCACCCTGCAGCCTTTGGCCCTGGGCTGGGCACTCTGTCCCAACCCTGAGGGCCCTAATACTGCCAGATGTGGTTCTGCAGTGTGCCTTGAGGCTCAGCTGAACCTCGGGGTGACCAGCCTCCCCACGGAAGCCTTGGCCCTGCCTTCACCTTTTGTCGTCATCAAGGCTTCCCCTTGACCTCTGTCCCCGTACTGAAACCTTGAAGACATTTTGGGAAACTGCATTAAGTCTCATGGGCTGCTGAAGTACCAGCTAGAATCTTTTGGCTCACAAAATACATTCCTAAAAAGCTGAGTACAGAACAGACATACTGACACCTTACCCCTGACTCTCAGTCTTTGTCCAGCGAGGGGCCCCGGAGCCACCCAAGCCTGTTGAGGAGCAAGTCAGAGCCAATCCTACCCATGATGGGAGGGCCATGCATTGCCACATCTTTCTTCGACTCGAACTGGGAGAAGCCATGGAGGCTTTTCCTGGTGAACCCTCTCCTCAAAGGCTGCTCTCGGAGAGGAGCCATTCCCTCACATCACAGCTCCTGTGGGCCGTGTCCTAAGGAGCTCCTGCCAACGCGTGGGATTCTCGGGAAGCCCCCAGAAGGCGTGTCCTGCTGAGAACCCAGCTGTGAGACTCCGAAGCAGCCCCCGCCACCCTGCAACCCACCCCCAAGAGCCTTACGCAGCAGCAACGGAGATGTTGGCGGCAGACATGGGACTGACTTCAGCCACTTCTTTGGCCTTTTGCAGAGCAAGCTTCTGATTGGCTGCTTCTTCCATCTCCTCTTCGTCCTGTTCGAACAGACAGAGGTGTGCAGCTAGCCTCCACTAACGACATCAGCTCTTCCTCCCGTGGTCTCTGAGTCCTTCCTGCCCTCTGAACCTGTATGAGCACAACCCACCCATGCTCCAGCACTGTGCACCAACTCCACATGAGCTCTCTGGTAGCCTTCAGGGACCCCCCTTCTATACCTGCTGCTCAGGCAACAGTCCCCAAGATCCTAGCCCCAATACGTCTTGCCACGGGCCATCTCCCGGGGTGCTCACAGCCGGTAACTTACACCCCACCTGTGAGCTCAAGCCACAGGGACCCCGCTGCTGCCTGCATATTTGTCCCACAGCGTTTCCGACTTGGCACTGTCAAAATGCAAATCTGTCCCTCCTTTCCTCCGGCTTGCTGCCCGTCCACCCCAGGAGAACCTGTCCCACTTGAACAAAGTCTCTGCCCCAGAGCTGTGAGCGAAGGCAAGGGGCGGGGCTCTGTACCCTGAGCCTCGATCCCGGCCAGCATCGCTCACAGGAATTGTCACCAGCAGTGGGTTTAGCAGGGCCACCTCCTAGCCTTTGAGCTTTTCCTACTTGGACCCATCAGGTCACGTGTGTCTACCTGTCCCCAGCTGTGACTGGAAAGTCCCTCCCTGTGTCCACCTGGACAGCCACTTCCAGTACCTGTGTTCCCTCTCCCACCAAGTTCCTGGGGAGGACCCCACAGCTCTCTGACACGTGTGTAGATATCCTGCCCTGCCCTGCCTGTGGCCTCCATGGGAAGGGGAGTGGACATCTAGGCAGACCCTCTGGCCCTAACCCCATGTCACTAGGCAAAATCAACATGCTCTGCTCCTGGGATCTGAATGAAAAGCTCTGGGCTGAGCCCATGGGCCCATGGTGGGAAACTAAGGCCTCCATGTCATCCAGCTAGACTGCTGAGACCACCATTATTTCCCCAAAAACCCCAATCCTGAGCCCACCTGGCTTCCATGGAAGACCCAAAATGTCCTTAAATCTTCTCCTAGAGGCCCCCAAATGGCAAGAACTAAGACCCCTGTGAGGTGTCTGCAGATTTCCCACCATAGTGAAGAGGTCTTCAAGCTTCAGGCCCCAGAGAGCAGGCAAAGCTCGATCTACCACAGAACACCCCTATCAAGGTCCTTCTTTAAGCTATGGATGCCACCCTAGTTGACAGCCCTCCAGGGCAGAGGATGAGCTTCTACAAACTCCACTGAGTTTATTTCCACTTTGAAAAAACATGATGCTGTAATACATCGTGGGAACGTAAAGGAAGGACAGCCAGCCCAGGAAATGCCCCACAGCCTGACACGGCTAGGCCTCTACCTGCCCCAACTTCCAAATCAAGGGAATTCCTGGATTAGGGCCGTTGGTACAAAGGGGCCATCGCACAGGCTGACTGCATGGAGACAGGGCCCCAAGGACATCCCTTCCCTGGTGAGTCCTCATCCACGGCCCAACTTGAAGAGACACCGAGAACCTCAAGCTCAAGCTCACCTCTGCCGCAAGACAGCTGGTGCCCAGACCACCAGTGCTCCTGAGCACCCCCAGTTCATGGGGTCCCGGAAATCCTGACACCGAGAGGTGCTCGGTGGACACAGGGTCCCCCTGCCCCAGCAGCCCAGCCAGGAGCCAGGGACAAGCACCCTCCGGCCACTTCGAGATGGCAGAGCCCGTCTCGGCCCTGGCCGACAGAGAAATGAGCAGGCCAGTGGGACTTCCAGGCCCTCCGAAGGCAGCAGCCAGAGCCAGGGAAGTCCCTGTACCCACAGGCACCTCCACAGCCCAGGCCTGGGCCGGGTGAAGAGGAAGTCTCCGCAGAAGCAAAGGAAGACACACGAATAGGCCTGCCTCTACAGAGAGTAGGGTGGGGGCAGCGGGGGCCCCTGCGCACAGCCGCGCCTCTGCTGACTGCAGACACGATCCGCACCTGCCCTCCTCAGGCAAGGCCCAAGTCAAGCTCAGCCCCAGGACAGAGATGGCGTTGAGAGTCGGGCTGGACTGCACCAGACACACACAGGGATGTGCACAGGTGTGAGCTCCAGCACACAGGCGAGAGGTGCCCACACAGGCCACATGCTCAGCCGAGAGAGCAAGCACGCGGGGCGTCTGTGGCAGGTGGCCTGACCAAGCGGTAGGACCCTCCACACTAGGAGCCGGGGCTTGTCAAAGCACAAGCCTGAGGCCGACGAAGCGGGAGAGCCAGCCGCACCGTCCGTGGCTGTGAGGCTGAAGGTGACCAGGCAGGGGGCTGTGTCATTGGGAAGGAAACCACAGGGGAGGACATGTATAATCACGTCCCCCACCAGGCTCCAGGATGAGAGATGAATATTAGAGGCCGCCCACCGGGCACGGCTGGGAGAAGAAGCTGTCCTGCTGAAACACAAACAAGCCGACAAGGAGGCGGCAGCCATTCCTCCAGGGCCCAGCCAGGCCCAGCATCTGAGGACAGAACTGCCCAGGGACAGCCCAAGCGCAACAATGCACACTCAAGACAGACCGCAGGGGCCCCCTTGCCGCCCAGGGACAGGCACAGGGAATCCCACACCTCCCTTCAGGGTCTTCACCTCCGGCATGCCTCTGGCTGAGGGGACACCTGCCGCTTCACTCAGCCACACCTCCTGATACACTTCAGGGTCCTTCACCCCTGGGCCAGCACAGCCTGCCCCCCACTGCTTAGGGCTCTCTCTGGGCTGCACCTCCTGTTCCTCCTACCTCCTCCTGCCTTTCTGGCCATTCTTTCCAGCTCTTGGCTTCTCCAGGAACTGCCCTTCCTGGCATGGCATCTCCCACGCTTCCTCTGCCCCATTCGCACACCCAAGTGGCAGCCTAACTTCTACCTGTCCAGGACCTTGAGGAGGCTCCCCCGGAGAGTGGTCACGAGTCCTAACCCTGGACTGGCCCTCTTCATGGCTCTCTGGACTCACACTGAGTGACACAGGCTGCCGCCCCCCACCCCTCTCTGCTCCTCCTGGGCTGCAGGTGGTGTTCCTACGCACGTACCTTGGTCAGCTCCTGAGCATTGGCGAGGTTGTCCACGGCGATGGCCAGGAAGACATTCAGCAGAGTGTCTGGTTGGCTCCAGCTAAGGAAGGGAACCCTTCTGCCCCCACCCCCAGTCTCCCACAGTCATACCCCAGCTCCCCCATGGAGAATTGGGCCCTGTCTCCCCAGAGCCTGACTAGCCTTCAGCCTCCTTCCCTTGGTGGCCCCATGCCCCTCCAGTCCCCTGGCTCCTCTGGCCCCTGTCACCCCCAGACGCAGCCTAGCCCAGCTGCCAGGGCTGCCGCCTCCAATCTCTCCAGATCAGGCCACTGACCTGAGTCACTCCAATTCTCCTGGGGCCGGAGCCGCCTCTTCCCACAAGCTCCCCTCCTGTGCACGTCAGAACAGCACCTCCCAGAACCATCCCCTCCCTGCACCCCGTGTCAGGCCTCAGCACTCTTCCGCAGACCCAGGCCCTCCCCAGTCACCTCATTCCTTGGCTCTGCTGACTTTTAGAGCCAGGCAACCCTGTGTCGTGGGATGTTGAGCAGAATGCCTGGCCTCTGCCCAGCACCTGGATGCGGCAGCACCTTCTCCTCAAGGCAACCAAACTGTCTCAGACATTGCCGATGTCCTCTGGGGGCAAAGTCACCCCAGTCAGAGCCCCAGAACTGAGCTCCTTAGCCACAGGCCTGGGGATTCACCCCCCTAACCCCAACCTGGCCGTTGTTCCTGCCAGGGCAAGCCTTGCGTAGCCTCTAGCTTTGCATGAGGCCAACAGCGATGACTGCTGCTGGTCAGGACCCAGTCTGGCAAGCAGATGCCCCCGAGACTCAAGGGGACCCACGTGCCAGGGTGCCGCCTCATAGGCAAGGCTGCTCGGGACTCCAGCAGAGCCCAGAGGATAGACACTGAGGCTGGGGGCCACTTCCCTGCACTAACCACAGCCACGAGCACCCTCAGAGGCCTTCCCACACCTGGAGCTCAGGGCCCAGCCAGAGAGGGGCACAGAGGCAGAGGGAACGATTCCCACTGGCTAGCACGAGGCTTGACCACTGACACACCTGGCCTGACAGTGCAGGGTCAGAAAGATGTGATGAGCTTCAGGCCGCTACTCAGTCTCGGGGCGGGGGGGTGGGGGGGGGGTGGCCCCTCCTTCTGGAGAGCAGCTATTCCCCACCCTTACCCCCATCATTTGAGGTCAACACTGCAGGCCCCTTTCCTCTCCGACAACCTTGGCTGCCACTTCCGGGTTTCCGGTCAGCCAGCCCCCAAGTCCCACCCGCCTGCTAAACAGTGAACAAACACTGCCCCTCTGAGCCCCTGACTCCTCCTTGCTGGGCCTCCTGCTCAGCCCCCACAGAGACGGGGCTCCCTGCCCTGGGGTCCAGGCCCTGAACTACACAGGGCGGACAGATGTGCGCAGCCCCTCTGGGGTGAATGCAGGCAAAGAGAATGAGGTCTGCAGGGTCACAGGTCACAGACTGGCGTGAGAGCCTGCAAGGCAGGGGCGAGGAGGGGCGAACAGGGTCACATGTCCAGGTGTGCGTGCAGGGAAATACGGCCGAGCCGGTAGGTCAGTCTGGGAGAAGGCCACTCACAGATCTTTCTCCGGGCTCTGCGGGCTATTTACTGCAGCAGATCTCAAAGTGGGGGTCCCCAGGCCACAGCATCAGCACTCCCAGGGGAGCATGTTAGCATCACATTTGTGGGCTGGAACCTGAGCGTTAACCACCCCTGGGGGACTCTGATGTACAGAAGAGTTTGAGAACCCAAGTGCCCCTGCTTATCCTGAATTTCCCCCCTGAGCAGTGGGGCCACATTCACACCTCACCTCTCCTGGCCCTCAACACTGCCCCCATCATGAGCCCTGCAGCCTCCTCTTCCCAGGTGGCCTGCCTAAGGCAGAGCCGCCACCAAGCTGCTAGGCTTTCCCGGACCCCAGACCCACCCTCCCATCCTGAGGTCCTGAAACACGAGCCCAACAGCCACCCACCACAGGAAACCTTGCTTCATATTTCTCCACAGGTATGATGTTTTCAGCAGGGAACAGTTTTTTAAAAGCCCAGGGCCAAAATTTAATTACTGAATTAAAGTGGCCAAACAAAACAAAACCAAACCCACTGCCATCAGTGTTCAAAGCCCACGTCTTCCCATAGTAACCCTCCTGAGCCTGCCACTGACCATACCATCTCCCTCTGGGTACCGTACATGCAACTCATGCTTCCATCAACCTCAGCCCCCACAGCCTCCGGAACCCCCAAGCTCAGGCTGCCTGGAGAATAGTCACCATCTAGACTTAAGCCAGCTCCCCTGAGGGAAGAGCTACATCGTTCACACTTGATGAGAAGGTACCTCTCATATTTGTGGCCAACAACCGCCGCCCCCCCCCCCCCACGTCCTCCTGGGGGAAGAGGGAGAGGCAGGCCCAGACCAAGCACTAACCACACTGCATCCCAGCCCCAAAGAAGGATACAATTTCCAAACAGCGTCAGGACAATGAAGTAAAAGGAGGAGAACATGCCTTTGCTGACTCCACCTTGCGACTCGATCCCGTGATACATCACTGCATTCCAATCCTCTCCTGTTAGGATCTGTGGAGGGACAGCACCACAGGGTATGCCTGCATGGCCACTTCACCCACATGCACATGCATGTGCACGCTCAGGGTCAAGACATGGCTACATCCCAAGAACCCACGGGCACATGTGCACAGACACACGGGTTTCTAGATGATGGTGTTTCTGGAGGTCAAGGTGGCCCACGGTCCTCCAGAAAAACTTCCAGAAAGACACGGCTGCTGAGCTGGGTCCGGCCTCGAAAGATGAATGTGCTCTAGCTTTTCGGCCAAAAATGGAAGGGAGCCCCAGGCCGAAGGAAGAGGTGAGCAAAGGCAAGGAGGAGAACTGTAGCAATGAGCTGGGGAGATTAGGCCTGGCTGGGGAGGCAGAACTCCCCACTCCCAGAGCCGCCTGGGCCATGATGTGACAGTCTAGGTGACAGTGGGTCCAGCAAAGAGCGTGGCTAAATGCAACCCTTGCCCCATTAGGAAACATGTCTCTCTTTGCTGCTGTATTTTTGGAAAAGTACAAGAGAAGAACATAACAGACATTCACGTGTCCACCAATCAAAATGGACACTGCTCACATTTGTCCCGTTTGCATCAGGTCCCACTGCCCGTGATTACTCCCAACAGACGACCCCAATCACAAACCTGGTGAGGAACAATGTCAGCAGAGTTCCACTCACACGACACACATGCATCTATAAACAAAATACACCACGCGTGTTTGAAACACTCACAGGAAGGTATCAAACGACACACACCGTTCTTCAGCTTGCTGTCCTCACTCAGTATCGTATCTTTGAAGTTTATCCACACGAGGCACACAAATCCACCTACTCCTGTCCCCCAGCGAACACTAAACCTTCAGGCCAACAACCCACACGCCTCTTGACTGGCAGCTTCCTTCTTTCCAGGATTTTGCTACCGAGTCTCGCTGCACTCGTGGAAGGTCTGCCCACAGCTGGGACGGCCAGGCAGCAGGCCGTGTGCACCTCCGACTTTACAAGGGGTTTCCGAGGCGCTCACCCTAGGCTACGCCTGTGGTGGGCGCTGCTCCAGGCTGAGGAGTGAGAGGGCCAGCTGGTCAGGTGTCGTCCTCTGGGGCCTCTTCGACCGTCTCACATCCCGGACGCCTCACCTCCCTCCCACTGACTGAGACTTCCCGTGTGTTCCGTGTGTTCTTGCTCATTGCTGCCCTCTGTCTGCAGAACTACTGGAAATGCTCGCAGCTGGCCTCTGTTTTATGACAAAGTCCCTGCATCTAAGAAATTCCTCTCCATTTGAAGGCAATACAAATATTCTTCTGTATTTTCTTCAAACCATTTTAAAGTCTGGTTTTTCACAGTTAGGTTTGGAATCCACCTGGAGTTTGTGATTACTGTTCTGTGTACACTCAGGGATGAAGATCAGCCTTTCTCCCAGTGGACAGCTGAGTCGCACAGACCTACTTTTTAAAATACTCTGTGCCCATCCTCCTCCTACGGCCAGCTTCCGACCTAGCCTGGCCACCTTTCTGGCTTCTCTGGTCTGCTCTTCATACCTCACTATCCTCCTGCTTCGTAAAAACTCTTGACACATGGTGAGGCAGACCCCTCCTTCCTGAATCGTCTTGACGGTTCTTGGACGTTGACTCTTCCACATTATCAATATGCTGAATTCCAAGAGACTAAATTAGGAGAGCAGATGTCTTTGCCACTCCCCATTATAAATATACCCCCTGTGTACCCAGATCTGTGGGTCCTTTGACAACAAGTCCTGATTTCATCCATAAAAGTCTTGCATGCTGTTTGTAGATCTCTGGGTGCCTCGTAGCTTTTGCTGCCTCTGGAATGAAATATTTCATTTTAATTGAATTTTCTAATTGAACGGTTAGGTCATAGGAAAGCTACCTAATTGAACGGTTAGGTCATAGGAAAGCTACGTTTCTGTATGTTGATCTTGTGTTCAGCAGCACAAGTGAATTTTATGCACTTGGTAGGACTCCCCTTATACCTGCCAGGCCCAGGGCAGGAAAAGAGCTCTACAGATCCCTTGTCTTTAATGGTTAGAAAGCTATCCAGGTTTTTAATTTCTTCTTGAGCTAATTTATGTGTTTGAGGTTTTCCTGTAACAGTGCGTTTTCATCTTAGTTTTCAAATCTCCGACCATAATATCCTTGGGGATTTAAAACGATCTCTCCCTTCATGCAGGTAGGCCTCCCTTCCAGGCTATACTTTTCTTCTGCGCCTTTTCTCTCGGCCAGTCTTGCCACGATGCTGTCTGTCTGAGTCTTCCTGAGAGCAAGCTTTATATGATTTTGTTGCCTTGCTGTTTTAGTTTTGTATCACTAATGTCTGCTTATTAACCATTTTTTCCTGCTTTCAATTTTTCTTTGGTTTACCCGTTCTCTTCTCTAGGTTTTTAAGATGAGTACATCACTAGTTTATTTCCAGTCTTTCTTTTATTTTCATGACTGCATTTGAGATTATAAATTTTCCTCCAAGTATTGTTTCCACGTCATTCCATAAGTTTTGATGTCATTGTTCACTTTTAAGTATTTTGTAAGGTCCATTGTGATGTCTTCTTTAGCTCAGTCCTTCAGCTTTCAAATCTGGCGAAGGTTTTAAATAACTTTTTACACATGGTTTGTTTATTTACATTACATCAAGAATGTGCTCTGTAGGATGACAATTCTCCAAGATTTGTAGGAATTTCCTGGGTGACTTAACAAGTGGTCAGTTTCTGTGAATGTCCTAGGTGTCCCAAACGATGACTGTTTTGTTTGCTGTCAGCTGGGTGCAGAGTTCCATAGACCGATGTGGACTTCCACGTGTTTCTATCAGTTGCTGCTCAGTATATATATATATATATATATATATATTTTAGAATTAATCCCTGCTTTTTGAGGGCAGGGATTTTTTTTTTTTTTTTTTAGAGAGAGAGGGAGAGTACAAGCAGGGGGAGTGGCAGGTAGAGGGAGAGGGAGAAGCAGGCTCCCCGCTCAGTGGGGAGCCCGACGTGGGGCTCGATCCCAGGACCCTGGAATCAGTGACCTGGGCCGAAGGCAGCACCTTAACTGACTGAGCCACTCAGGCGCCCCTGCTCAGTATATTTTTAGTTCATGTTGTTAGGTCATGCAGGTTCATGATTGCTGCCTTCTTTTTGTTGTTCTGTAATGCACTTCTTTATTTTTACTAAAGCTTTTTTCCCTTAACTTGAATTTTGGCTGATGTTATTATTATACCAGCTTTCTTTTTGATGATTTCTACTTAGTTTATCTTTTTGTATCCTTTGATTTTTTAATTATGTACTATTTCACACATTCAGAAAGGAAAGATGAATAATTTTTAACAAACCTCCATGTACCCACTACCTGGCTTGAAAGGGAGCATTCAAAGGGAGATGGTGCCCCTTGAGTAGAACTCCTCCAGCCCACCTCCCAGCAGCACAGCACCCTGAATCTGGTGTTTCTCATTCCCATGTAAGCTTTTATACTTTAACTGCATGGATGCCATAAACAACACTGTTTTGCATGTTTTCATCCTTATTTAAATAGTATCATATGTTGTGCATTATTCTGAATCTTACTTTTTTTTTTTTTTTTGCTTAATATTATATTTGTAAGATTCATCCACGTTAACACATTTAATTCTAGGTCATTCATGCTGTACAGATAATACAACACACTTTTCTTATCCATTCTTGTGACGATGGACATTTTTGGTGACTCCCAGTTTTTTGCTATTATAAGTGATGCTGCTGTGATGCCTCACACGCATCTCCTTGTGCAGTTGGGCAGAAGACTTTCCCGAGCACAGACCCACAACAGGAACCACTCCCATACAAGTTCCAGGTATTAGGTTTTACGACATTACTACCCACAGTGGTTCTACCAACCCTCCAAGAGCATAAAAGAATCTTCATTTCTCCACATCTCCTCTATAACTTGATATTAGATTTCTTAACTTCTGCTAAATTGACAGGTGGAGAGGTTGTCTCATGCTGGGTTTAATTTGCATCTCTAGCAACATTGGTAATTGTTCTTACTGGTTTATTTGTCAGCCCAACTTCCTCTCCTATGAGATGCTTATTTACACTCTGCCTTTCCCTATGATACTATTTGTCTTTCTCTTTGATTTGTGGAAGTTCTTGATATGTCTTGGACACTTCAGTGGTTATTCTAATACTGTGGAAATGTCTTCTCCAAGTTCATGAATTTTTTTCAACCTTTTCGTGGTGTCTTTTGATGCACAGTCATTTCTATTTTAACGGTCAAATTTGTCAGTATTTTCCTTTACGATCTGTGCTTCTTATATCTTAAGAAGGATTTCCCCACCTTGAGTTAGTACCATTACACTCCTGTACATCCCCCTAAAATTTCAGATTTGCTCTTCACATTTAGGTCTTAATCTATCCAAACTGATTTCATATATGGAACAAATTAGGAACCCAATTTCATGTTTTGCTCTATGGATAACCAAATTGTCCCATACCATCTGCAATCACAACACTTGAGTTTTCTGTGTATACAAATATTTTAGCTGTGAATATTCTTTTTTCCTTATCAATCCTGAGAAATTGTGTTCCATATTTTCTTGTCCTACTGCAGACCACAGACACCAGCATAATCTGCTAAGACTTTTTACTTGAAAGGAGTGTTGGGCTTTATCATGTGATCTTACCTTTTCAGAAAAAATGTATTATGCACATTTTCAGACATACATAGAGTGTACTGAATCCCCATGTTCTCATCACCCAGCTTCCACAGTGAACAAATCTCCCGATCTTGTTTCTCCTGTCCTCTCACTCTGTGCCATGGTCTTGCTGGAGTCACATGTTTTTTCTGATCACACGGTGTTTTCCTTCCTTAATTGGCTAAGATGATGAATTACATTAATAGGCTTTCCAATGTTAAGTCATCTTGCATTTCCAGGATAAAGTCAAGTTGATCATAAAGATGATTTGTTAATTTACAAGCATATCCAATTTGATTAGATATTACTTCCCTTCTGTCTCTGCATTTGTGATCATGACCTAAGACCCCCACTGACCCCCCCTCTTATTCACATGAATGTTAACCTGTCTTTTCAGGAAGAGCTCAGTCACTGACTCCCACCTGTGTAGGTGTGGGGCAGTTCCCTCTGCCTCATTCTAATATGAAAGTCTCCTTCCACGGGGGAGCACAAACCCCATTAGCATGACATACGAACAATGCATGTATAGACATGTTTCCTGAGTGTGCATGTGTGACCTTATGCCCACCTCTATATGCACTGACAAAGCTCCCCTTTCTGAATATTCATCTGAGCCCTAAATCAAAGGAACCCACTCATCCCCACATGGGGAGTCATGGCTTCGGAAGTTATTCCCGGTGATCTCTTTATTTACTGCAAATAAAAGCTTCCTTTGTGCAACAACCCACCTCCCGCTGTAGTCTCTTCCTGTGAGTCACCAAGCAGTGGACTCACATTAGTTCAGTTATGGTGTTTTATCAAGGTTATTCCAGTCTCTTAAAGCCAGCCAGGTACCTTCCTTTTTGTCTTCTCTGGAGTCATCTGCATAAAATTGGAATAACGTCTTTCTTAAATTTTAGTAGAATTCACTCATAAAATTACCAGAACATGGTGGCTTGGGTAGGCAGATTTTTAATCATTCCATTTCTGAAATAGTTCAGGTCTTTAATTTCTTCTTGGGTTAGTGTAATGTTATTATTTTTTTTTTTTTCTAAATCATTGGCTTTGCTAAATGTATAAACGTCTGTGGTGCTTTCAGCAATCAGGGGTTGGTAGCTCTCCATATCTGCATTTGAACGTGTCCAGCTCCCCCTTGAGCTTGAACCTCAGCTCTCTGGATCGGCATTCTGGGGTCATGGGGGCTGTTCCCCAGGATTTCAAAGTTCCTTCCCCAACCCTTGCCGTCAGACTGTCATTCTTCTGTGGGGAATCTCTCTCTTTATCACAACACATCCAGGTTTGACATTACTCTTGCTTGGCCCTCCGAGTGCACGCCCTCTAAGACTCGCCCGGGACAGTGCTGGGCTTCACCCCCAAGTTCCCCCACATCTTCCAGCTCACCCATCCTTTCTTAGGTCGTGTCCACGGTATATCTGGCCCTTTAATTTTCTATTTAAAGAGCACTGTTTTTCATTCTTAGGATTTCTACTTAGTTCTTTTTCATATTAACCTATTCTTGGTTCTCGGGTATTTTCTTCCATAATTCTGTGTTATGTGTTACAAGTTCTTCCTCAAACACTGGGTAGATCTCAAGCACATTTGATGCAAAGTCACCTGCATTGTTCTCTTATTCCCATTTCTTTTGGAGTGAGCTCACCTTCCGACTGCACATGTTGTCCGCCCTCTTCGGTGGGATCAGCTTCACCATGGTTCAGTCTGCCTGCTCACCATGAGCAGACCTGATGTTGTTTTCTTCTTGGTCACACATTCTCCCTACCCCTTCCAGCCCCGTTCAGAAGCAAGAGTGAGCTCCCATCCTGGGATCTCAGGCCCCGGCCCAGCACCATCCATGGAATGTGCAAGCCTGGCCTGGCCAGCCATCTGCTCCTGCGAACTTCTCGGCCTCCCCCAGCCATAGTCACCCTCTCCCAGCTCTGCTCCTCTGTTCCTCAAAGGGCCACACACCTTCCCCAGCAACGAGTCAGGCAGGCCACACATGGATGCTTCTGATGCCCAGCCCGCCTGCCTCGCCCGGACCACATCCCAGGTGCCCCGGCCTCTGCATCTCTCCTTACTGTTCCATTTCCAGCCCACAGTTTGTTTTCTGCTTGGCTGGATCCTTTTAATTTCTAGGTGTATTTATTCTCTTATTGCCATGTTCCAGAGCAGAGGGGGGTCTGAGGTCCAAACCAGAGCATCATCTGACCAGAAGAACCCATCTTTTCCCTCTAACTTTGACTTCCTCTTCCCCTCTGTCCCACACCACCACCATTAACCAACCACATTCCACTCCTTTCCTATAACAGACAGAACAAAGCAGAGCTCTGTCAATCATGTCACCTCCCTGCTTTGGCGAAGCCTGTGGGCCTGGCTCTGAAGGCCCATCCAACTTGACCTCTGCCAGCCCCAATCCTTCTGCCACAAACCCTATGCCTTTGCTGCCCTGACTCCACTCACCTTCCTACTGCGGTGTCTGGAACACATTCCCGCCGATTCCCCTTGCCTGACTTCCAAGGTCCCACAGGGCAGCCCTAGGAGCTCCTTCCCATCACTGAACAGATCACACTGCACAGGAAAGGTCATGGCCGCCCTCTGCTAGAGGCCCCAACTTGGAGACCAAGGGCAGCCCCAGAGGCCAGGGGCTAAGCTGAGCCTGTTGGACTTCCCTAAGAGTCACCCTGGGCAAACAACAACCCACCCCAACCTGCTCAACAGCAGGCATGGCATCCGAGGAGGCTTCATAAGACAGAAACACTTGGACTATCCTATCGGTGAGGCCAGTCATGGGGGGCATCGGGGTGCCGGGGAGCTACAGCCCTGCAAGGGGGCCAGTTGCTCAACCAAGAGAGTCTTCAAATGGGAACCCCTCCGAGAGGGCAGAGATCGCCTGAGTGACAAGGTTTGCCTCACAGAGGACTCAGCTTCCCCAGGAGCCGTGGCGGGCGTGATCTCCAGACACAAAAGAGAACTGAAGGACCCCTGGGCCTGACAAACAGGAGGGAGAAGCATGGATAGCACTCTGTTGTTTTATTCTCAAAGGGTAAGACAGCTGTAACTCCAGGTCCTAGGGGCTGGGAGAGAAGGTGGCGGCCTGAAGCCCAGTGGCCACAGGACCGTTGAACCCCCAGGGAACTCATGCTTCTTGGGACCCGGTTTCCCTCCAGACCCAGGCTCTAGACTTGGTGACAGAGTCCCACGGACTGGAGACCTCCCTATGCTCATCTCCCACTTGTTCTCTCCTGTTTTCTGGAAAGTTCTGTCTGAAATGGTGGCTGTCTGGCTGTGCAGATGCTGACAGGGAAGGCTGCCTTCCCCATACCTGGAGAGCTGAGCAGGCCAGGAGTGTGCCAAGAGCCAGGAGCCTTACCTGGAAGACAGTGAGAATGGCCGCGGGGAAAGTGTCAAAGTTCGTTGTCGGGGTCTCATCCTTAAAGTTGAACCTGAGGAGAACAAGAAGTCTTGGAAAGAGGCCGCCCCACCAGAAGCCAGGGGATCTGGCACCTCGGCTTGCAACACTGTCCCAGGCTGTGGGTGGGCTGTGTGCTCGGCGCCATTGTCCCCCTGGGGGACCTCCAGGCGGCAGACAGGTGGAGGGGGCCTGAGCAGTACATCTGTTCTGAGCTCTGCCTCCCCAGTGGGGCCCTCAGCCTCATACGACCCCCTCCAGGGCCCACTTACTGTCCCCCAAACAGCTGCATGCCCAGCAGAGCGAAGACCACGATGAACAGGAACAGCAGGAAGAGGAGGCTGATGATGGACTTCATGGAGTTGAGCAGAGACACCACCAGGTTCCGCAGGGAGCTCCAGTACCTGTCGGGGCAGGTGGGGTGTGTCCACGCCCAGCTGCGCCCACGCGGAGGCGCCTGCCCGCATGCAGATGCCACACTCCAGGGCTCTCCCAGTCACACCTGTGGTTTCCGAGGCCTTCTAAACCCCAAAGGCCCCACACCTGGAGGCCAGAGCTCTTCTCCAGAGAGTTCCAGATCCTCCACTGGGGGTTCTGGGGGCGCGGCAGAGATCCTGTGTCCATTGCGGGACTCACCCTCATCTCCCGAACCTGCCCCTGTCACTCTGCCTGGCAGAATGGCGCCCGATCCCTCTCCACCCCTCAACACCCAAGCAGCTTCCAGGCATCTCTGCTCAGACCACGAGTAGAGAAGGAGCTGGAGCAGAACACAATCAGCCCCACTGGCCTGCATCAAGCCGGTCCTCAGGGCTGTGAGGCGTGATGTATAACCCGGTGTGAATGCCCCTCTCAGCAAGGGCCCAGGACACAGCGTGGATCGGGGGCGACGGCACTGCGAGACCATTTCCCTGGCACCCCACAATGCCCACCCCTCCGTCACACTCTTCAAACGCTCCTGGAGGGCAGAGACCATGTCTCTGGGCATGTCTCATGCAACTGGACCCCATGGCACACGGGCCCCACTAAAGTCCGTGGTGGCCCGGCTGTTGATAGCTCACTCACGGGGTGACTGGGGGTCCAACCCCATGTCCGCATCTGGAGAGCTCCTCCCCAGAAGAGGTCGGGGCATGTGGCTTTCCCTCCAGTCACCTCGAGACATACTACACACCTCTGTGTCTCCATCACCGTGGACAGGTGGGAGTGGCAGGACAGACAGCAGTCACTGAGCATCCCTGGCCCTGTCCTCCCAAGGGCCAATGGCACAGAGGCTCACCTATCTTCCATGGATTCTCTTACAAGGCACTTGAGGGTTCATGGAAGATGGGCTGCAAAACTCTGGGAAAGCCAGCCCTCCTCAGGACAGGGGTGGCCTGGCTTCTGGAAGGAAGCAGCGCCCCTAAAACACCAGGCCCCACCACCAAGGTGAAGGCAGGTCTTGCAGTCACCTCCTGGAGCGAGGTACCAGCACAGCGTGGGGAAGCAACAGAGGACTGGCTGCTGCTGTCTCGTGGCCACACGAGACGTCCAGCAGTGTTTGTGGACTCAGCTAGACCAGACTCTCCCCACACTCTCCCGCAGTGACACCATCATGTCTTCAAATGGTCTCAGGTTTGGACTGAAAACAGACTGGAGAAGACCAGCTGTACTCCCATCTACCCTGGGGAGATCAGTGAGGTTCTGAAAGGTCACTGGAGGGGCGACCTGGACCCCAGGGCCTCCTGCACAAGCTCACTGTTGACAGCTCTGCTCCTTGGGTCCTGCAGCTGTCATGGTCCAGGCTGCTGGGGAGAACTGCATGGAAATCCATGCTGGAGCCTGTGTGGGCGGCTACACACTCATGCAACGGGAGTCCAAAATTCAGGGTAGGCGAGGTCCCCGCTGTGGTGTGTGTGCGGCCACAGCTAAGACCAGCTGAGAACAGAGCAGGCTTTGCTGTGGGTGAGACGGCTATGGGTGAGGCGCACCCCCTCTCCCCACCACTAGAACCCTGGCAGAGAGGACCAGCACTCACTCAGTAACTGCATCACACCTCCGCCCTGGGCCTCAGCCCCCTCGTAGACAAAATGGTGCAAATGGCTTCCAGGGTTACGTAAAGAACCAACCGGAATAGAAGAGAAGACACAGGCCTGTCACTGCCCTCTTGCCACAGCTTAAACGGGGCCGCGTCAGGCACAGGGTGGAGAAAGCGGGCCTGGGAATGGGAGCCACGGAGGAACCATGCCGGCTCAGGTCAGGTCAGAGTCAGTTGAGGCCTCCCTCCCTTCCTGGGGTGGGGCTGCAGGGGAGGTGGGAGGACTTGGGGGTGTGATGATAAAAAAAAACTTCCATCTGATAACTTCTTTTTTCTCTGTTAACCATGAAGCAAAGTAACCCTTTGAAAGTTGAAAGATGGGACTGCTGATTTCAAAGGAGGGCACAGTATGAAACTGCAAGAAGCAAGCTAACTAGAGAACCAGGAATCCTGCCGGCAACATCGGGGCCAATCGGGAACACCCCCGAGGGTAGATACGGCCCCCAGGGCCGAGACAGAGTCATGCTGGGCAGGTGCTTTATAACTGTCCTTTGTATTTAAACCAGTATAAGCACAAAAAGAGATTCCGGACATCTGAGTTCAAGGCCATCACCGTGAATTCCTGGGAAGAAGCATGCTGTGCAGGCCCGTCTCAGATGTGACCAGCATTCCCCCCTCGCCTTCACCCGGGAGCACACGGGTAACTCACTTTGTGACTTTGAAGATCCTCAGCAGCCGGAGTGCCCTCAGCACACTGATCCCGAAGGAGGCTCCTGGCCTGATGGCAGCCCAGACCACTTCAAAGATGCTCCCCACAATGACCTGCACGGGGACAGCGTCAGCCTCAGGTACAGGCCCACTCATCCCACACCTGCACCTCTGCATGAAGCGCCTCTGGATCACACCGTAAGCATCCACAACACACGGTACACGCCTCACACTGAGCTCCTGCAGCCTTCGGGGAGCACACACCCGTCCGGTGCTCACCTGCCCCCTAACACGCCCACCCTGGATGCACCCCGGGGACACGGGATGTGGAGCGAGCGTAGGCCTACTGCTTTCCTGACTGGCCAGCTGCAAATCAGATCAGCTTGGCATCAATGTTCTCCCACAGCACTGAGAAACCGGTGAATGTGCCAGGATCGAGGCCCTGGCCATGACTGGAGACCCCTGTAGCATTTAATGCTGGTCCATTAACCTGTACATCTGCTCTGGCAGGTCACCCCAAATGCACAGCCATCCTCTGCATATCTCTCCATGCTGAACACAGATGTATCGCTGAGAGACCATCTGATGTCCTGTGACGTCCAGACAGCCGAACAGCTGCACCCCTGGTACATCCCAGGCAGCACAACACATGGGACAAGCTTGCCACCACCTGTCGTTGGTGACCCTGAGCACCTCCACCAATTTTCCACAGCATGCACACAGCATCCAGATGTTTGTCTGGGGCTGGAGCTCATAGTTTCCTAAATCTGTGTTCTTACTGTTGGTCTTCCAGCATCTCTGTCTTTCCTTAATCCTCAGAATTTGTTCCCATTCGTCCATGACGCAGGTGGCCCCTGAGATGGCCCACAGTGATCCCCACTACTCGGTATCCCAACCTTGTATAGCCTTGTCCCTCAAGGATGGGTTGGACCCAGTGACTCACTTTTAGCAAACAGAATGTGACAGAAGTGATTGGCTGTCACCCCTGAGATTCGGTCACAAAGACTGGCTTCCTCCTCGGTGCTCTCAGCTCTGTTGCAGGTCCCCAGCTGCCATGACGTAGGACATGAGGGAGCCTGGGGAGAGGCCCCCCTGACCAGGTACTGAGGGCTGTCGGCCACAAGCAGGAGCTTGGGTGTGAGCTCCCCACCCCAAAGAGCCTGCGGTTACTGCAGCCTTGTGGGAGAGCGAGAGCTGGGGGCCCCCAGTTAAGTCCCACCTGACTCCCAACCCACTGACATAAGAGATAACAAATGATGGTTGTTTTAAGCCACTAAACTGTGGGATAATTTGTTATCCACCAAGAAAAACAATACACATTTTGGAGACAGAAACGGAGTGCTCTCCAATGTAGGAGTGGCTTTGGAGCCAGAGACTGGGCATGGAGCAGCACGTCAGTGAACCCAGCCTGTCCGTGGGTTCTGGACAGCGAGGAGGTGCGGAGGCTGCACATAAGGGTCAGAAGGACAGGGGGGCAGAAGTCCTGTTCTGTACTGGCAGGAAGTTCGGCCACACCGTTGCCCACAGCTATGTGAAGAGAAGAAAGTGTGCCGCATGGATGGGGAGGCCTCTGGGATCTCCAAGCAGAGTCTGCAGGTGCGGCCTGGGGTGCTCTTGCCGCCCACTGTCGGCGTGGGAAGAGGGAGAGGCACAGGAAAGGGTTGTCAGCTGCCTCTCCAGACAACCAAGGATGCCAAATTAGGAAATGGTACGGTCCACAGCGGAAGCCAGGACACAGCTGTGGCACTGTGGGAGCCCGTCCCTGCGGAGACGGCCTCTCACGTCAGCTTGATGAGCAGCAAGTCCTCCAGGGCACTAACGTGCGCTGGCCTCAGCCATCTCAGCATGGACGCCCCACAGGGAAGGGCCTGTTGCGAGAGTTTAGGTAGGGCTTTCCTCAAGTGGAATCCAGGAAGATTCACAACATACCCATAACACACTGGAAGACTTAGCTATGCAGAGACATCACCAGCTTGGGTTGAAAGGGACACAGACGGTACAAGACAAAAGCCTTTGGATTCCTAAAGTCCTACCGGTAGGAAGCAGGCTGAGAAAACTGTCCAGCTGAAAACACATGCTATCTTTCCTGGAACAAGAAAGGTGATGCAGAGGCCAAAACCAAAAGCCCAGAGGGCTTCCCAATCCTTAGGAACTAATCCCAGGATCCCCAACTCTTCCCAGCTGGATTCCTGAACCGCTATGGGCCACAGACTCCCTTGTGTGTCCCACTGTCCCCTTTGAACAAGAACGCCAACGGCAGTTCATCTATGCCAGTCCTGCCACCGTGCAGGTGACAGCTTGTCTTTTTAGTTCCGTGGGTCCACAGGTGGGGAGGGACTGAGCAGCTGTCCTTGAGGAGCCGTGACTCTACCTGGGCCTGGTTTCGTGAAGGCCCTGGACTCTGAACTGCCACTGTAATGGGAGGTGGCTGGGGAAGCAGGAGGACATGGGTGTCTTTTACATCAGGAAGGATGTGGTCTACACCAGAGCATAGACTGTGGCAGGCAGCCTCTAAGACGGCCCCCAGTGACCCTGCCTCCTGGGGTTCATGTCCCTGGGTAATATTTCCCATCCCCGTTAAACGTGGGCTGGGCCAAGTGACTCACTCCTAACAAATATAATATGGCAGAACTGATGGGTCGTCTCTCTGAGCCTGGGTTTCTGTGGCTTCTGTCTTGGGTACTCTCAGTCTCTGTCTCCGATCACAAGCTGTCACATCCTGAAGACACTCAGGCAGCCTGGGGAGAGACCCACGTGACCGGGACTGAGGCCTGCCACCAACCACATGAGTGAGCTTGGAAGTCCCATCAACAGCCATGTGATGAGCTTGAAAGCAAATTCTCCTGTCCTAATCAAGCGCTGGAATGGCTGCGTCCCAGCTGTCAGCTGCACTGTGACTTCCCTGAGACCCTGGGCCACAGGCACCTGGTTAAGCCAGCCTTGGACCCCTGACCCATAGAAACTGTGAGATAATACACACTTGTTTTATGCTGCTAAATTTTGGAATAATTTGTTAGCTTATGTGCAAATCATTCCCATGTCCTGGGATCCAGTTAGTTCAAACCAGAAGATACAATCACATTTACAAGATCAAGGATTCTCTGAGATCTGCTAACCTCTTTGGGGTCCCTCCGGCCTGTGTGAGCCACAGGCTTTCCTCATGACTCAGCAGGCAAGGGACAAGAAGCCATCCCAGGAAGAACCGCAGGTGTCCATGTCTCAGGGCGCACCCTGGGCAGCCACCGCCCCTCCTTCGCCCAGAGATCAGGCAGCATTGTGTGGCACAGACCTGCTTCTCCAGGGCCAGACTGCTGGGTTCACACTGCCTCCCCCACAAAGTACCTGGGCAGCCTTGGGCCAATCACACAACATCTCCAGTTACTCATCTACAAAGCGGGAGCCCTTGTGAGGATTTAACAGAGCTGCGGACACAATGTTCCGTCAACTCCACTGACAGAAAAAGTCAACGTCACACTGAATTTTTGAGTTGAACTTCTACCTACAACCAGAACTCTGCGGAGGTGTGAACCTTCCTCAGGGCTGGCACGGCCACTTTTCACTGAGAGCCTCCACTGGGTCAGAGCTCCTCCCTGGGCTCTGGGCTCAGCACCAGGGAGGTGTCCGTGTGCTTGCTGGCCTGGGAAGGGCTTTGTCCCAGGGAGTCTTGAACACCTGCCTTTGAGGCCTCCCTGACCTACAGAGGTTGGTGAAGGGACCCAGGCCAGCCCCACGAGAAGGGCTGGACCATCACGCCCCTGTCAGGTCCTCCCTGAAGCATGTGTCCAAGCTGCCCAGAGCCAGATCTGCAGGACAGTGAGGGAGCAGGATCACAGCCCCTTGAGCTCTGCTGGGGACACTGAGCCCTCTGTGGAGCAGGGGCACATTTGGAAGACGGCTGTACCAGGCACAGAGGGGGCACCTTCAGCTGATCTGCAGATTCCACGGAGAGGGTCAGAAGTGGGAAGGAGGGTATCCTGCAGCTGACGACCCCATAAGTCAGGGCCCGACCAGGATGGGACGCCCCTTTGTCAAAGACCTCTCCCTGTCTCTAGGAAGCCTTCCTGACCCACACAGGGTCACAGGGCGCTCAACTGCCTGGGTCCTACAGCACATACTGGGTACAGCATTCCGGGAGGGGGCTGTGTGCGCTCTCGAGCAAGGATACAGCTGGACCCGCCTGGACCCCAGCCAGCACCTCTCATGAAGATCTTACTTACCCCAAAGTCGAAGCAGTTGAATGAGGACCGGAAGTAGCTTCTGGGCCCCAGGCCATACATCTTCAGGGACATCTCTGTGAGGAAGAGACCCAGGAAAACAAACTCTGCAAAGTCTAGGAGAAGCCGGAGAAGAGAGGGATTAGCTCTCAGCCTCCCCCCACCTGGCTCCAGCCCAGACTGGAGGACACCAGACCTCTGGGCCCTCCCAGGGTTGAGCCCTGCAGGCCTGGTCTGTGGCCCCTGAGCTCAGAAGTCTCAGCTCAGGAGGAGAATAATGAACGGATTGGGACCGGGAGGGGCCCAAAGAGATGCCTGTCCACTCTGAAATGTGGTGCTGCCCAGAGACAGGCTCTGCGGGAGGTGAGGGCCTGGGATTGGGCTCGGGAGTGAGTTCCGGGGCCACACAGTACTCCCCAGAGGACGGCCTCAGACCCATTCTTCTGCCTTCAGGCTTGCTCCCCACCCCATGTTCTGAGCATGGTGGAGACCCTCAGCCTCCTCATCAGAATCACCCCGTCCTCCGTGAGGACTTCCCCAAAACCCTTCCAAAACCCCCACATCACCGTGTTTGGTTTTCACTTTGTTCATGTGTTCACCTACCACCCAATACTGGACCGGCCAGCATGGGGCTCCCAGGAGGCGCCAACACTTGCCACCCCCTGGCTCTACGAGCCACACAGAGGCTCCTGGGCACCTTCACCCTCCTGCAGGCGACCCCTCCTGCCTAGCCACTGGGAGTGCAGACCCTCAAGGGCCTCAGGACCAAAGGGAGGCCACACTGGAACTGAGGGCCATGCTGGGAATTCCAGGCACTCAGACAAGACACAAGCCCTAGCGAGGCCCGAACAACACGCACAGCCAGAGCGAGAAATAACAGGTCGTCCGGACAGCGAGAGAGGCAGCGGGCTCTGCCAGTGGTCAAACCAGGAAGTCCAGGAAGCAGAACAAGGTCACTGTCTCTGATCCTCCTCCCCAGGTGCTGAGCTGGAATCAGCTCATTATTCTGTACAGTGGCCCACAGGCACCATGGCCTCTGGCCCCAGAGCAGCAGAAGCCAGCGAAGCGGCTCAGAGCTCAGGGCAGAGCCTGCCCCTGAGGGTCCAGGCCCTGAGCAGGAGTGGAGGGTAAGCTCCAGAGAGTCCAGTCCCCAGAAGGCCACTAGCCCAGCCTTCCTGGGGCCTCTGGCATCCGGACTGGTTGGGAAGCTGGACCTCAAGCAGCTCCTGATAAAACAGATAACAGAAGAGGGGACCACATAGCTCTGGACCCTGACATCTGCTTTCTTGCACAGCTCTCCACCATGCACTCCACCACAGAGACCCAGCAGCCTCAGTCGGGGGCAGATCTACAGTAGCCCAACTGCACACGAGCAGAGGAACAGAGGCACCAGCCCCACTGCCCCACACAGACAACGACCTGTATGGCCCACGGTCTCGGGGGGGAGCCCCCTACTATGGCTTGAGTACACGGATAATCAGCTCCTGGTAGCAACTCACACAACAAGCCTGGCCTCTGAAGACAGCCAAAAAGTCATGGAGGCACCCAAGCTAGGCATGCGATAAGGAATGAGAAGGCAAAGCTGACTCCCTGGAGAAGCCAAGAGGCCAAGGTGCCAGGCACGGATGCCCACTGACCTAGGCAGAAGAACCCACTGCAGCCAGGCCTGAATGACCGGCACCTGGGCCTGGCTGTGCTGAGCCGCAGGTCCGAGGGGGGTAGGGAGGCGGCGCCCTGCCCCCAAGTCCAGCTCCGAACGCCCCAACACCCTGCACAGTCCCAGAGCCTCTCCACGTGGGGTCACAAAGGCACCTGCCCCTGCGCCGTGGGGCACCCCATAAGAAGAGCTCAGATCCTGGAGGAGGAGCCCACAAAGATGGGCCGTGCCCCTGCCCACACGCCAGACCTTGGAGCTACAGCTGCCCGGCCACCGATCTTGCTCCCAGGAGACCCATGTGAGAGCAGTGCAAGGAACCGGCACAGGAGCTGCCAACGGTAAGACCTCCTGGGAGAAAGGGAGCAGCCAGAGCCAGGAATCCCCCAGCGTCCTGCCTGCCCTTTCACTCTCCTGCGGGAGAGACACCCTTGGCTTCATATGCTCAGCCTCCCCTCTGAGGCCAAGAAAGGGCATCCATTCATTCACTCCTGAATCATTCGTCCAACTGACAGGCTGGTGCTGCTTTGAACTTGCAGAAGAGACAGAGATGAGCCCTCTCTCTGGGCATTCACACACCAAGGCGGGGGGGAGGGGGCAGAGGCAGAGAATTTAATCCGTGTTCTGTATCATAATCGGAGGACAGGGTGGCCAAGCCTGTCCTGTGAGGCCAGGGGGCTCAGAGGATGACAAAGCCCTACAGCCAGTTGCTTCCCTTCCTTCCCCCCTCACCAGTTAGGCTTCAGTCTCAGGGGTTCTGGTGGCGTACTGGGGGTGGGTCCTAGATGGACACACAGCTGAGGTGCACACAACCCATTCTCTGCAGGCCGGCCAGTCTCAGGGCAGAGCCTCCCGGGGAGCTCCAATGAAGCTAGTCCTGGCGGAGACCCCCCTCCTACCTCAGCCACTGCCTCTGCCTCTTGCAAGACCTGCCTTACCTGGCTGGATCAGCCTTCCTCAGCTCCAGCCCAGCTGACAAGGACAGAGCCCAGGGCACTGAGCAGAGGTGTGCAGACCCAGCATACACCCATCTCTCCCGCCAGCCGTTTTCCCCAGGTAATGACAATGAATTCAGGAATTCCCAGGGAACCACAGAGAAGACAAAGCAGCAAGGGGGAAGAAGCGTGGCCAGGGATGCCTGTGGCCTGGCCCAGCACCTGGGCACTCCCAGGCCTGTGCTCCCACACAACAGATGTGTGATCAGGTCCTGCAGCTTGCTGCCTGCCCAGTCGGGTGGCAGGTCCCCAGGACACAAGCAGTAACCACAAGACTGACTGGGCACCATCAGCTTCTTCCATGGGAAGGAAAGGTCTGGCCAGGAAGCCCCAGGAACAGCCGCACCGTTGGCGGGGTCAAGAGGAAGCCCCACCTCCCTGGTCCCCACCCAACCCCCAAGGGTGAGGAGACTTTATCCTGAGGGGATATGGAGGAAAGTACTCACCTCAGTCCCAAACAAAGTCCCCAGACACCAAAGTACAGGTCCCAGGATATATGGATTAGGGGCCAGAGCGGGCGGTTCAAAGCACACAAACCGCCTCCTCACTTTGCTCCCCTGGGCAACCCGAGCCAGGCTGCCTGCCGGAAGCTCCCTGGGCCCCTCTGGCTTCTTCTGCCTCTATGCCCTGCCCCATTACACAACAAGAGCTTTCAGTACAAGTTTGGGAAACTGCAGGTTAGCATCGCACCCCCCAACAGTCACCCCACCCACATTTTCAAGTGGCCTGTGGAGCTCATAAGAACTCTTCCAGAGCTGCCTGAGCTCCTACTTAAAGCTGACAGGCTCAGGGTTGGAAGAGGGGAGTGTGGCTGGCCCACCGGGGCCAGGAGTCAGATCCAGGAGCGTTCTTCTCTGGAGAAAAGACTCTCTTGCCACCTCAGGGAGGCTTCAGGCATACAGGGCTCCCATGGAGAGAGCAAGGGGAATCCACAGTAGGCCCTGTGTCCACATCAGCCCCAGATATCAAGCAGGGCTATTACAGCTGACCCCCAGGAAACAGGAAGGCGAAGGCCTGACCAGAGGACAGAAACTACTAGGGAGCTTCGTGTCTAGAGCTCTCATGAGGTGGGACGACAGACCCAGACCAAGCTCCCCATGGCCTGCAGAGCCCTAGGGTATGACGGGTTGGTCCTGGAAGGTCAGCCCTGGTCCCTGGAGAGGGGCAAGGGGCCTCAACCAGCCCAGTTACCTTCTTCCTTTCCTCCTTGGAACTGCAGCCAGGGCCAAGAGAAGTCATGACTCAGACTCTTGTGGCCCTTAGGCCCATGGACATGGGGCAAGTCAGTCCTGGTCAGGTTCAAAAACCAAAAAATGCAAACAGCCAAAGAGCCCAGGAAGAGCGCTAGAAGGCAGGACTCTTCCTCCTCAGGAGTCCAGGAAGGGAGCCGCAGCCTTGTGGCAGATTGGAATGAGGGGCTAAGTCCTCTGGTGCGTGGGTCTGAGGCCCTTCCAAGGCAGGACACAGGTCCACGTGGCCTGGCTTGTGCCTGCTCACCCCATCAACTTCCTCCCAGTGTGCCCTGGACCCCGCCTCATTTCCCACCACACTGCAGATGGGTTTCTAACCCGTTCAATCAGCTAGGCCTCCTGGCACCCAGGACGGGGAGCTCAGGCCCCAGCAGAGGCCCTTGGGGGCACTTGGGCCAGTGCAGGGGTCCTACCCAGGGCATTCCAAGGCAAAAGGCTGGGAACCAGGTTTCCCAGGCTGCAGACCAGAGGTGGTTCGGGAAGAGGTGAGGGGAGGCCCAGGCTGCAGCTACGTACACAGCGCCGTGGTGAGCCGCTGCGGCTGGTTGTAATGCACCATGGCCACGCACAGCGTATTCAGGGCCACCACACACAGCACCGCCCAGTAGAAGCTCTGCGCCTTCACCATGCGCCGGATGAAGAACCGGAACATCTTCTCCTTCCTACGGAAGTATGACGAGCTCTCTGTCTTTCCGCTCTTGAGGCTGGAACGGGTGAAGGGGGATCCTGGGGGAACAAGGGGCTCACTGAGGACACGCTCTCCCTCACAGACGTGTGCCCCACGGACACACCCTTGAGGACACGCTTCCCCTCCCACTCAGACACATAGCTCCCCCATGAGAACACCTTCATGGGCACTTGCCCCAGCCCGGGTCTAGCTCAAGACCCCGCGTGTGTCAGACCCTGTGTGCTACTGGCATTTAGCTGATTACCCTTGCACCCCCTGCAGTGGGTCCTGACCCCACCCCCATTTCACAGGTGAGGGAACCAAGAGCCTTGGTGGTCTCCACCGTCACGAGGCTCCAGATGGTCCCCAGCACCTCCTGGCCACCTTCCAGCAGTCCCGATGCTCCCGGCCATCCCAGCTCCTCCATGGGCCTTGGAGAGCACTACAGCGTCTGGTCCTCCCCACTGCTTCAACTCAGGGATCAGCAGCCACTGGCTACCTGTCTTTTTTGAAGATTTTATTTATTTATTTGAAAGAGAGAGAGTGTGGGTGAGAGAACACAAGCAGGGGGGAAGAGGCAGAGGGGGAGGGAGAAGCAGAGCCCCACGCGGGACTCGAGCTCAGGACCCTGAGATCATGATCTGAGCTGAAGGCAGCCAACCAACCAACCGAGCCACCCAGGTGCCCCTGGCTCCCTATTTTCAAGTACTTTTTTTTTTTTTAAGATTTTGTTTATTTATTTGACAGAAAGAGAGAGATAGTGAGAGAGGGAACACAGCAGGGGGAGTGGGAGAGGGAGAAGCAGGCTTCCCACTGAGCAGGGAGCCTGATGTGGGGCTCGAACCCAGGACCCTGGGATCATGACCCGAGCGGAAGGCAGATACTCAATGACTGAGCCACCCAGGTGCTCCTCTATTGTCAAGTACTTTGACTAGAACCCAGCCAAGCTCCTTGGCTTGCATCGGGTCCATGGCTGTTATCCTGGTGCAGAAGCAGAGGTGAGTATGGCCCACAAAACCCAACACAGTCTCTGGAACGTTTGCGATGAAGCTACCACGGCCTTTCCCCATCACCACGTACATGCCACTTCTGCCCTGCCATGACCCTAAGTGTAAAATGCTTCCCACCGCTGGTCCTTTCCACAGCAGGCTGCTTCTCAGCTTCACATCTGGGCTTCACAAAACACCCTTCTCTGGGCACTCTTTCCGAAATAGGGTCATCAGCCCACCCGCAGTAATCACAGCCGCGTATCATCTGCCTCCGTATTGGCTCGTTGACCTGTTCTGTGCCTACCTTCCAGACCAGATTGCACACTCTGTGAGGGCAGGAGAGAACCCTCACGAGAGCCGTTGCACTCCCTGACAAACAACTGAGCAGTCTTCATGGGGGCTTGGAGGTGGTGAGTGTGCATGGCTCTGTCTCTCAGGACATCCCGTGTCTCTGCAGCACATCAGGGTCTCTCTAGTGTTTTCAATAAGGGCCTGGGCATGTGTGAGCCTCCCAGGGTTCAAACCCAGTCAGCTTGGGCATCGGGTCCCTGGGTGAGGGTGTGTGTGTCAGGTGATGTTCGGTGTATGCACATGTATGTGTCACGTGATGTTCTGCATGTGCATGCGTGTCACGTGATGTTCTGTGTGTCATGTGACATTCTGTGTACGTGCATGTGTGTCACGTGATGTTCTGCATGTGCATGTGTCACATGATGTTATGTGTGTGTCACGTGGTGTTCTGTGTGTGCATGTGTCACGTGATGTTCTGTGTGTGCATGTGTGTCGCATGATGTTCTGTGTGTGTCATATGATCTTCTGTGCACATGTATGTCACGTGATGTTCTGTGCGTGCATGTGTGTCACGTGATGTTCTGTGCATGTGCATGTGTGTCACATGATGTTCTGTGTGTCACATGTGTACGTGCATGTGTGTCACATGATGTTCTGTGTGCATGTGTCACGTGATGTTCTGTGTGTGCATGTGTGTTACATGATGTTCTGTGTGTCACATGATGTTCTGTGCACGTGCATGTGTGTCACGTGATGTGTGTGTGTCACATGAAGTTCTGTGCACGGGCATGTGTCACGTGATGTTCTGTGTGTGCATGTGTGTGTCACATGATGTTCTGTGTGTGCATGTGTCACATGATGTTCTGTGTGTGTCACATGATGTTCTGTGCACATGCATGTGTCACGTGATGTTCTGTGTGTGCATGTGTGTCACATGATGTTCTGTGTGTGTCACATGATGTTCTGTGCATGTGTCACGTGATGTGTGTGTGCATGGGTGTGTCACATGATGTTCTGTGTGTCACATGATGTTCTGTGCACGTGCATGTGTGTCACGTGATGTGTGTGTGTCACATGAAGTTCTGTGCACGGGCATGTGTCACGTGATGTTCTGTGTGTGCATGTGTGTCACGTGATGTTCTGTGTGTCACATGTGTGTACGTGCATGTGTGTCACGTGATGTTCTGTGTGTCACATGTTGTGTGTACGTGCATGTGTGTCACGTGATGTTCTGTGTGCATGTGTTCTGTGTGTGTCACATGATGTTCTGTGCACGTGCATGTGTCACGTGATGTTCTATGTGTGCATGTGTGTGTCACATGATGTTCTGTGTGTGTCACATGATGTTCTGTGCATGTGTGTCACGTGATGTTCTGTGTGTGTCACATGATGTTCTGTGCATGTATGTCACGTGATGTTCTGTGTGCGTGCATGTGCGTGTGTGTGTGCGTGCACCCAGCTCTCAGTGGCACACTGATAGTATTTGGGGGCTGATGTTTTCTTGAGTTCACTGAAATGAGCGCAGACCCTTCCGGAGAACCCACACACTCAGATCCCCTGCCACTTCCTGAGTCACTGAGAAACAAAGTCACACACACCCTGACCATCTCACTCTCAAAGACACAACCACTCACAGAATCACAACAGGTGCACACCTAGGAACACACACAGGGCCACGCTGGGAAGGAAGGTAAGAGGACACGTGAGCTATGCAAACTGCTCTGTGCCGTGTGGCCAGCGAGACAAGCAGCCAGTTCTCCAGGGGAGGCTCCACGGCCATTCCCACCTGGCTCACTGGACCATGCCCAGTAAGAACCAGTGGGCCCCTGCCATGCGGAAGGCCTCCTAGGAATGCTGCCTTGGCCCAGCCACCCGGACCCACATGCAGACAACCACACGCATCTTCACGCGTCGAGGCATCCAGACAGTAACGTCCTGGGCCACATTTGCCCAAAACCACGTACCCTTCCTTGGCTCCTGAAGCCCCACCCGTCGCCCCCTCTAACACACTCCAAGGGACAGAAGGGGGAGCGAGAGTCCCGGCACACTGAGCATGAGGTGCCCCCCTGTCAGTTCCCAGGGAGAGGTGTGTCCCCATGCACACCATGGCAGAACCAAGGACAGAGACCTGCCCACCCCCTGGCCTCCGCTTGGTCAGGGAACAGGGACACGCAGGCAAATATGGAACAGGTCCTGGGTCTCTGGAGACAGAGACATGTGCCCTGGAGGACAGCCTTTCCCAGCAAGCAGCTACCATGTGCTCAGGTCAGCTCCGGACAGTGACTCCAGCCCAGCTCTTTGATAAAAGCAGGGGTCCACAGTGAACATGGACACACGTCACGTCCAGAATCATAGCTCTGGATGGGGAAAATCATGAGAGTTTGGGACTGCTTCTTTTCATACTGTGCATTTTCCATGTTTAACTTAATCAGTGTATATTCTTTATAATCAAAAGGCTTATTTCAAGGAAAAAAATATATCGTCAAGCTAGGGGAAATCAAGAATTAAATCAACCTATGAATAACAGCACAGTTAAGCATTAGTGAGAACAATGCATGAGTGTACATAATATTCGGATTTCTTTCCATCATGCCCAAAAGAGGGGTTCATTAGTTAATATAAAGTCTACGCTGGACCTGCGTAACAATACCCATCCCTTCCACACATGTGTACAGAGTTTAGGCCCTGAGTGGCAGAGAGAAGGCAGGATGACTGAGATCATCCCACCCTCGATGACCCCACCAGAGGCCAGTGAAGGGACGGAGGAGAAATGTGTTCCCTTCCAGCTTTGTGGCTGCACTCACCAGCATGGGATAATGAAAGTAGTGTTCGCCAACAAGCCATGGAGGCCATGGAGGCACGAAGCCCACCAGCCCTGCCCTGGGCACGTGACTTTACAGTGTCACACAGCCCAGAGAGCCCTCACTCAGAAACAGATCACAGGTAACCTGGCCCCACACGTTGTGTGGGAGTCAGCGAAACGACGCGGGGCACGCGGGCTCAACCACGGGCAGGGTGGATGGAGGGGTGACAAGCCCAGCACCCGAGACGCCGCCATCCTCACACAGACGGAGGGACAAAGGAGGTGCTGGGCACGAGGAAACCCTGCCCAGCCCCACGCCCAAGCTGTCCTGAACCTGCTGAGGCCTGAGGCCCTGAAAGCAAGTGAGCCTGGAGGCCCTGCCAGGGACCCAGGAGGAAAAATCAGCAAAATCCCAGGGACTCAAGTACAGCACCAAACCAATCAAAATAAAACTGAAAGGAGAAACTTTTGGAGAAAAAATAAAATTCCTTTCAGCAGATGAAAGGAGAGGAGGTTCACTCTCAGAACCCAAACTAGTGGCTCTGAAGGATGAAGCATAAGCCACATATTGAATGAGGGACAGAGGGCGAGACTTGCAGGAGCCAAGTGGGAGACAGAACGCGAAATAATAGGGATTCCAGATGCAAAAAAGAACGAGGCGAGGAGATGAACTCATTAAACACATGGGAAAAGCCCTCCACGAAGGAAGGCCTGAGCCCACAGGCACAGAAGGAGCTCCTGACACAGTACAAGAGCCCCGGCCCCTGGCACCTCCATGGCACGAGGACAGCAGGGGCCAGGGGGACACCACAGAGTGGCAGGAGTACTCAGCAAAAAGACCTCACACCTCAGGGAGGAGGACACGCAAGGCTCAGCAAGAAGCCAGAAGCCTCGGGGAAACCAGCCGAGCACAGGACAGAGAGCAAGCAGAGAAAGCAGTCGGTGGGGCAGCGGCCACAGGCGAGGCCCTCGGAAAGCAAAGCCACGCGGGCAAGGGTCAGCCTCTGGGGGTGCACGCTGGCCTGCTAAGCAAGGGTTCTGGAGCAACCACAGGGAGTAATAACAGCCTAGGGCTAAAAACACCAACGTCCTCAAACCGCGAGGGAGGAGGCGAACACACTGCAAAGGTCATATGTTCTCGATCTTTGGAGCCAATAGGGGCAGAGTGATGGCAAATAACACCAATTTCCTTATGGAAACAAGGCATCTCGGGGGCAAGGATGGTAAGAAAACAAGATACAACAGCTAAGAAGCATGGCAGTAATGATGAGAGCCAAGGAGGGGAGGTGGCCGCTCATGGAGCGGGCAGTGAGAAGTCAGGGGGAGAGAGGGCGGGTGACTCTGGATGCAGAGTAAAGAAGAGCAACCAAGGTCTAGACGCTGACAGACAGGAGGCCGCCCAGCGAAGCATCACGCAGAGGGGCGGGCACAGCCTTCAGAGCCCTCGCTGGTAAAGAAGAGAGGAAGAACAAGCTGCACAGTTTAAGAAATTAGGAATGTAATAAAAAAGCAAATCAAAATAATTTAGAAAGACGAACTTATTAAAGATACAAGAGGAAGTCATGACACTTAAGACAAAAAATAGAAGAAAGGAAGTGTAAAATTGGGTCATGTTATGTGATCATTCATACAGATTAACCCCACACGATCCTAATTAATAAAACAGCGCACACAGACAGACATTCTGACGACTAGTGAACAGCAAGAGCAAAGTCAGCAGATCCAGGCCAGCCTCAGAGGGGTCAACACCTCCACAGCGCCAGCCAGATCTCCAGACAGCCGCCCGCAGCCCCACGGGCGCTCCAACGCGTGCGCACACACAGCACATGCTCCCCCCGGACTCTGGGCGTCAGCCCCCAGCCCCACCCTCAGGCACGTGGCGCCCGCATCCTCTAATGCCCACGCCCAGCCGGCCGGTAAATCCTGTGCGCTTGCCTTCAGAATGTATCCAGAACCTGGCCACTGGGCACCCCCGTGGCTGCCACCACCAGTCGGATCCCTACAGCAGCCTCGGAACGGGCCCCACTTCTGCCTTTCTGCACTTGGGGCCCTCCTGTGCCCCAGCTGGAGCCGCACAGCTTCTCCCCTCTGCAAACCCACCAGTGGCCAGAGTCCCTGCCGGGCCCTTGCCCTCCGCGACCTTCTGATCTCCGGTCGCGCCGCTCCCCCGACCCACGCCACTCCACTCCAGCCACACTGGCCTCCCTCACAGTCCCCACTTGTGCTCCGCTCCTTCCTGCTTCAGGGTCTTCTCACATGTTGCCGGAATGTTCTCTTCCATGAGGCTGACTTCCTCACTTCCTTCAGCTTTACTCAAAGGTGACCTTTCTGGCGGGGGGGGGGGGGGACCTCTGTGGCCATTCTCTTTAAAATCCCAACCCCGTGGCCCTCCAAGCCCCTCGCTTCGTGATTTTTCCCCTTTCCGGAGGTGGCACTGCATACTTCTCGTGTTACACTGCTTGGGGTCTGACGCCACCCCTGGAACAGAAAAACCAAAAGAGGAAGGGTCTTCATCGTTCCCTTCAACACTGAAGCCCCAGTGCCTGGAACAGTTCCTTGCATGGCATGGGCACTTAATAAATATTTGCCGAGTGAATGAACAAACACACAGCTGAACACAGGAGAGATGAGAAGAATTATATGAGAAAAGTACAGCAACTCTGTAGAAACAAGTTTGAGACGCTGAGAAAATGGAAGATTTCCTCACAAAGCATAGTTTATAAAACTGGTCCAAGTTCTTTTTATTTTGGGTTCACGGTTTTATCTCACCTTTAAAGAACAGATTATTTAGGTGTTATGTTACTTGAATTATTCTAAGCCATAGGAAAAGACTTCAAAAAATCTTTCCAATTAATTTTACAAAATCAGAATAAAAACTCTAGGTAAAGTAGAAAAAAGGGGACTATTTAAATATTACCCTCACATGATAAATTTGTAAAAATTGTAACAAAGCTCAGATCCACAACACACATCAGTCTCTTATGAATTAGCAAACACAAACCATCCAATAGAAAAATGGACAGGTATATGAAGAATCACCAAGGCCGAACTTCAAATGGGAAACCAACATTTAAAAAGAGATTCAAAATCACTAGTAGCGAGTGAAATGAGAAAGGCAGTCCCAAAGAAATGTCACTTTATAACCATCAAATTGGTCTCGAGCTAGCAAAAGTCAAAAGTATCTCCGGCACATAACTGGGAGGGACAGTGCTGGCAGTGGGCACAGCACCCTGCTCCTGGGGGTCTACCCACAGGGACAGAAGCGCTGGAGAGGAAGGGCAGATGTTTACAGGGCTTTGTTTGGGCAGCACTTTTCATGATGAAGATCAAACATCCTAAAAATAAATGAATGGCCATCAACACAGAGCTGCCAAACAAATTACAGTGAACCCATGGAGCACCAAATTAGAATTAGAATTAGACTTCTGCGGGGAGTGGTCCCCAAAAGGTACCGATGAGAAAAATTTGTATGAAAGCATTTCTGTAACATGCAAAGATCTCAAAACTCTACATGTGTGTATGTGTGTATGCGTACCTGTGTGTGGGTGTGATGCCGATGTGTGTTCTATCTGAGAAACAGGGAGAAATCCCAAGTTATTGACATATGCTTACTGGGTCTGTGTGGGGAGAAAAAGAGGGAAAGGATGGATGGATGGATGGATGGTTAGATAGATGATTGGCAGATGATAGATCAATAGATACATAGATTGATAGCTAGATGGAAAAATAGAGACAGACATTGATTGATTGATTGATATCAATGCACAATTAAGTTTCATTAAAGAGTTGTCTCATAAATGTAACCACATCAGGAGAAGCAGACCTCGGACCCAGGCCCGCTCAGGAACTGCTGGAGATTGAGGCTGCCTGCATCGTGTTTGACTTGGTGCCTCGCAGTGAGAAGCTCACTGCCATGCAGGCCCTTCTCCAACTGTCAAGGTGGAAACCCACGGCTCAGCCCCTTCTGTTGCAGAATGCACAATAACCGGGCGTTCGGTGGGAAGGGGCCCAGCACTTCTGGGACCAGCCTGAGGAAGGGAACTAAAGCGGCTCCGTGTGATTGAATTAACCAGAATTCTCCTTTCACCATTTGAGGAGATGGGGATGAGGCCAGAGGCCCCAGGAGCAGGGAAGACAGACAGAGGCTGGGTAGAAAGATAGCCAGATCCTTTCGGTCCCTCCAGTCGGTGACACTCACAGCCCTTCAGCTGTGGGATGTGGCCTGAGGCTCTGTGTCCACATGGGGGACGGCAGAGCCAAGAGCAGTCAGAGCATGCAAAGGAGCGGCAGGCCCTGGGCAACACGGGACTTCCAGGAGCTGGACACACAGCCCACTCCCACAGCTTGGCTCTGGGAAAGAAAGCTGAGCACACACCAGAGGACGGAAGGCACTTTACTTCCTGCTATCAGGATAGACACAGGAGGGTGGGCCGTAGGGAAGGAAGGGAAGGAACATCGCCCCAGACGGGACAGGCAAGGTTAGGTGCACTTTCTATACCCAGTCACAGGACAGGCCCCGTTCAGCCAGGAGGACCCAAAGAGACTCACCCACGGCACAGAGGTCTGCAAACCGGTCTTCCCCCTCCTCAGCATGAATCAGGTCATTCCGACTCTTCTTGGTGGCTGCTCTCTTCAACACTGCTTTAAACAAGGGTGAGGAGAGGGGACGGCATGAGCCAGCACCCAGCTCACCTGCCCCAGGGCTGGGGAGTCTTCCAGCTGAGGGTGTGCGGATCTTCCTGGGGATCTCCTGTCCTGGCCCCCATGAGCCCCTCTCAGTCTTTGGAGCCAAGGGGATAAGGAATTTGGAGGGGAATGCCACTTCCCTTTTCTCCCTGATGATGTCAGTGGCTACCAAGGAGACCAGGAGACATCTGTGTAGGGCAAGGCCAGGCCACAGCTGGCTGCCCCAGCAGCCCACACCCCGAGGCCCGGTGAGAGCAGAGAGGGCAGTCAGGTCCGCAGAGGGGCCAGCACAGCAGAGCCCCAGATGTGGGTCCAGCTGAGGCTACAGCACACGTGGCCAGCCTCTCTGGCTTCGGCTTTGCTCTGAAGAGGATAGCCTTCCTGCCACTGGGCCATGCCCGTCGCCGGGCTGCTGACCACGGCCACACTGGCCCTTGTCCCTGCCCTGGTGGCCCCAGGCTGTGCGAGGAGTCCTGCTATGGCTGTCTGAGCCCGAGACAGATCCAGCTTGGTTTAAACCTGAACTTTGAAAGCTTCTAGAAGCAGCACGTCCAACAGAACTTTCTATGATGATGGGGAGGGGCGCATGGGTGGCTTAGTCGTTGGGTGTCTGCTTTCGGCTCAGGTCGTGGTCCCAGGGTCCTGGGATCGAGCCCCGCCTCGGGCTCCCTGCTCAGCGGGGAGTCTGCTTCTCCCTCTCCCTCTGCCCCTGTGTGTGTTCCGTCTCTTGCTATCTTTCTCTGTGTCAAATAAATAAATAAAATCTTAAAAAAAAAAAAAAAAGAACTTTCTGTGATGATGGAAATGGTCTAGATCTATGCTGACCAGCCTCTGGCCCCATCTAGCTATTGAACGCTTGCAGTGGGGTGGGTGAGGCTGAGGAACAGGTCCTTCACTTTCATTTCACCACAGCGTACTTATGTGTGAGCCCACACGGTCACACGTGAACTGCCATGTTGGACAACACAGCCCTCAGGGGCATGCTGTGAGCACAGCTCTGAGCCCCAGGCCGACAGGGGTGGTGGGAGAGCCCTCCGCCAGCTACCTCCAGGCTGGTCCATGGCACGCAACTCCCCAGGGGCATGCCGCGGCCTCCAGGATGGGCTCTGCCCCGGACTGTGTACAATGGATGTACAGCTGCCCAGGAGAGCAAGAGCATCAAGCACACGCATCTCGCTGGGCACAGAGTGCTTTCAGTGGTCACCTACCATCCAGAGGGGACTTCTCCTCCGCATTCTTGTCCTCCTCGGCCAGCATGACTTCCTCTGTGAGTGAGACACAGCCTCAGGTTGGAGCCTTCCCACCCCAACCCCTGACCAGGGCTCATCCCCCAGGAGCACACCAGGATGAGGGTGCCCCCCTGCTGCACGACCCTGCCCTCTCAGCCCTTACAATTCCAGAAGCCTGTGGGGCTCGTGGCTGAGCTCTTCCTGTTGGGACAGACACCCTCTATGTGTCCCACAGGCAGTGCCCCCTGAGGGGCGCCTGGCCTGTTCCCACGCTCATATCACCCTCCCCGGAGAGCAGCCACCCCACTAGGTGAGTTCCTCGTTGACGAGGCACTTAAGGAGGCACAGCGGGTGCCCCATATGGAGGAACGTATGCTGGCCTGAGGCTGGGGGGCAGTCAGAAACCCCAGGCTTGACAAAGCCCAGAACCAGGTGCAGAGCACAGAGCAGGCTCAGGTCAAGGGTAGGGCGCCTGAGTCTGACAGGCAGAAACTAGCCCTAGGCTAGGCCATGCCAGAAGCCTCCATTAAAAAGGCTGGTGTCGGGGCGCCTGGGTGGCTCAGTCGTCGAGCGTCTGCCTTCGGCTCAGGTCATGGTCCCAGTGTCCTGGGATCGAGCCCCACATCGGGCTCCCTGCTCCGCGGGAAGCCTGCTTCTCCCTCTCCCCTCCCCCTGCTTGTGTTCCCTCTCTCACCCTGTCTCTCTCTGTCAAATAAATAAATAAAATCTTTAAAAAAAAAAAAAAGGCCAGTGTCCCCAGAGCCATATGGCCGCCTGGTGTCAGGACCCTGGGTGGGCTGGAGAACACACTTCAGACACCTCAGCTCCCCTCTCCTAGACTGGTCTCATCCTCCCCATGGCCACTGACAGAGGCCAGGCCAGGAGCACTGCAGCGGCCCCTGGTTCTCACCAGCCTTGAAGATCCACTCCAGGTACCCATTGAGCTCCCGCTCGATCTGCTGCTGCCGGCGAAGCTTCAAGAAGGCCCGGCGGTTCTCGACCCTCTCACGCTCCTTGGCAAACTCTCTGCATGGTGCAGGGGCCAGAAAAGGAAGCAGACAGGGTGAGTGTGAGCACAGCCACCAGCCCCATGGGTGTGTGGATGCAGAGGCAAAGGGAACCAGGAAGAGGCTGGGACACGACTTGCAGGCCATGGGCCGCCCCTCACCACCATGGCCTCTTCCAACCTGAGCCCTCAGAGGGCCCAGGTGAACCCTCCTTCCTCAGACTCCTCCAGCACACAGGGACAGCACCTCCGTCCCCAGAGGGGGCTCCAGAGAGCTGGGACAATTCCACATCCCCCTGCCCAGAGCAAGCCGAGGCGCACACCCTCCAAGTGCCAGGCTGTCATCTGCATCCTACAGAGATCTTCTGGGCAAGAACTGCCCAGAGAACTTTCACTTTGTTTCTTCTGCTGGTTCAGACCCAGAGCCCTTGCTAGGAGGGGAAGGACAGACAGGAACAGGGCAAGAAGGGACTGGATGGGGGCAAGCCAACGACAAAAGGAAAACATTCCAGAGCCACCTCAGCCAAACTTGTGAGGCTCGCAATGACCAAGAGAGTGATCTCTGCCCTCCTTAGCCCTCAGCAGCCCAGCCCCAGCTTCCCAGACAAGGTTTTGGGCTCACACAGCCAGAAGGAAGCCATTCACACACACAAGCACACAAGCACACCCAAGTTTTCGTGCACCCAGCATTCAGCAGGGCGAGCCTCTCAGCCCCGGCTTGGGGCAGGAGCCAGGTCCCCAAAGGACAGGTAGGCACACCCCGGCAGCAAAACAGCAATGTCTGTCCTCAGCGAAGTGGCCGTTTCTCCTCCAGGAGAAGCAGCTTCTGGGCTTGGTGCGGTGAGCCCAGCAGACCTAACTCCTGGCACATAGCCATGGCAGGAGAGAGAGCTCAGCTCTGGCCAGCACTGACCCCAGCTCATGACCAGAGTCCACCAGGGCCTGAGCTGTGGCAATCCTGGCAACGAGCGGAGCCAGGTCCTGCCTGGACCTCCCATCCCTCGCAGACCCCGAATCTGCAGGGACACAGGGCCCCTCCCCTCCTCCCCTCTCCAACCAGCCTCTGTCCCTTGGCCGTGATGAGGGCAGGAGGGCCTGGGGTGCCGGGGTGGGGCAGGGACAACACCACTTGAATCAGTCTGAGAGCCACCAGCAAAAACTTGCTGTAGCAATCTAGGCCCTGCCCAGAGCATCCACTTCTCAAATGGCAGCCAGCAGCAGGGCCTGTCCTCCCCAGGCATCAGTTCTCACGGCTAAGAAAAGCGCCAAGAGGAATCCCTGATCCTGCTCCTCTGGAAGGCTTCGTGGGTGACAGCCTGGGGCATGAGGAAGAACAAGGCTGGTGGGCTCAAGCCGGCCGTGGCTGGGCGGAGTCCTGTAGGGCGAGCTTTCCCCAGGCCAGGCTGTAGAGGTGACATCTGAGCACAGCTGCCTTGGAGTGCAGCCAGCATGGGACCCACCGGTTGTGCGCTGACCGCTGGCTTTCGGGGCCTTGCCATTTCCAAGCCTGCCCAGGCCTGAAAGAGAACCCTGGGGTCTGCCTGCTGGGCCTGGATGCCCGAGGGAGGGCTCAGCTGAGACTAATTAGGAAAATCATCCCGTATCACCCCATCCTCAGAGGCCGGGATGCTCACAGGTGGGAGGAGGGCTGGGAAGTCACAAAGTTCGTGGCCCTGCTCAGTGAGGAGCCCCACAGCCCCAGCGCCCCAGTTCTCTCTGTACATTCTTCAGGGCAAGGCACACAAAGCCACCCTAAGCAGGCTGCTCTCCCAACTCGCCATGAACCCACTCATGCTCCTAGCACCTCCCCACCGTGCACTGGCCTCAGCACAGAGCCCACGCTCCCCACAAGCCTGCCGTCTGCCAGCCCCAGCACCCTCTCCCCTCCACACCTTCTGGCTCCAGCTCTGAGCACCCTTTCAGCACACACACTGCAGCCCTCTGGGTGCCTCTGGGCCTCCACCCCAGCTCTTCTCTGCCTGGGAAACCCCCTCCCCTCCTTTGCCGAGTTCATTCCTGCTCTCCCTTTGAGCCTCAATGGAAAGGCCCCTTCCCTAGGTGGCTTCTATGAGCTCCAGGCCTCCTCCGGATTCCCCATGCAGCTCAGACCTTGCAATTCCATCAGCCTGGAAGCTGTACATCCATCCCCTGTGCTGTGGGTGTGCCTGTCCCTATGGAGGGGCTTGGAAAGACATGCTAGTGACATACCACTTCCAGGAGAGGACTGAGGCTAAGGACATGTTCCAGAGCCAGAGCATACAGGCCGTGGACCCCAACCACTGTCCTCTCAGTGGCTGTTCCTTTCCAGGCCAAAAGGACAGCTGCCCCTTGGGTCCACCAGCCTCTCCCCGAGCCTACCTCAGGAGCCCTGGGCCTGAGCAGGAATCTTCAGGGTTGGCAGGACGGAGATATTCTCCTCTAGTCTTATAGGGGGTATGATACCAACAGGGGAACAGAGCGCAGGCCAGGCCTTCCCAACAGAGCTTCCTCAGACTGATGGAAGGGCAGGGTCCCCAAACACCAGCCCCATCTGTGCCCCTAAGCACACAGCACTTCTGTAGCCATTGGCCCCATGCAGGACAGGAGAGTAGGATGTGGGGTCAGGAAGGCACCTTTCTTTGGGAGGGAATCCCAGCCCCTCACCCTCCCTTGTTCTCTCCTGGAGGATCTCAGCACAGAAAGGTATCTGGAGAGGAGGAGCAAGCCAGGGTCAAGGCTGGGGTGGAGAGCCTGGTGACCACTACAGCCAGGATATAGGACCGCTCCCTCACTCTCCTCTGTAGCAGCAGAGGGTCTCTCTAGGCACCGGGGCTGCCCAAAAACCCCACCATGGACCCAGGTGAGATCCAGCAGCAGCCCCTCCCCCACCATCAGGGGACAGGGTGAAAGCCAAGTTGGGAGAGAGGCAAGGAGGCAGAGCCAGGGGATGGTGAAGAGAGAGGTCAGGATGGTAGCACAAAGGAAAGGCTGACCAGAGCTCAGGATGAGAGGAGTGACCACCACAGCCATGAAGCCAGGCCAGGCCTCACCTTTCCCACATCACACATGCCCACATCTGATTCCACCATCTCTCCCCTTAGCCTGAGAACACAGAAGGGCAGGCAGGCAGCACACAAGCCCACATGGCCTCTTACCCTGAGAGCACGCCCAGCACCAGGTTGAGCATGAAGAAGGAGCCAATGATGATGAGAGGGATGAAGTAGAGCCAGTTCCAGGTGTTACCAGCTGCATCATTTGTCTGGAAGCAAAAAGGAGAAGAGGAAAAACAGGTGGACAAGACACGTAGCCCTGGATGTAGAAGTGCCCTTGGGCCCTCCTCAAATACCTGGCAGGGCCTAGGCAGGGAGTGTTCAGGTGTTCGGGGGTCCAGGCAGGACCCACACCAGACCTGCCTGTCCCTGCCCCACAGAGCTTTCTTTGAAGCTGCCTTGGAGCTCTCAAAGGACCAAGGACAATTAGCACTCCTGGTCACTGCCCAGCAAGGCTGAAAAGCCAAGGAGTAGTTCAGGGAGCCAAAGGCTCCCAGGATACCTGGAAGGCTGAATGCCCAGTCTCTGCTTGGACACCTTTCCTATTCTTCCCAGGTTACTGGACATACCAGTCAGCTCTAAAGACATTTCTCCTGAATGGAGCCCAGTCTCTGCTTGGACACCTTTCCTATTCTTCCCAGGTTACTGGACATACCAGTCAGCTCTAAAGACATTTCTCCTGAATGGAGCCCAGTCTCTGCTTGGACACCTTTCCTATTCTTCCCAGGTTACTGGACATACCAGTCAGCTCTAAAGACTTTCTCCTGAATGGAGCCCAGCCTCTGCTTGGACACCCTTCCTATTCTTCCCAGGTTACTGGACATACCAGTCAGCTCTAAAGACTTTCTCCTGAATGGAGCGCACGGGCACCAGGCCCAAGTCTGATCTCCTATCTGCAGCAGCTTCCACAGCTCAGAGGCAGTGAGCCCCAGGCCGTATTTCCCCCATATCAAGAGAAGCCCACAAGTCCCCAGGGAACAGTTCTCACCATGTGCCTGGCTTAAGCCACAAGCCAGCACTCAGGCATGATCTAAGAACTGAATGTAAAGAAGGGCATCTCTCCCAGACCTTATGACTTTTATAGCCTGGGTCTCATGACATAATACCAAAAGTGTTCAGTTTTCAAGTGAAACTCATTTGCCATGCCAAGAACCAGAAAAAGCGCAAACTGAATGAAAAAAGGCAATCATTAGATGCCATGATGGTTAATTTTATGTGTCAATTTGACTGGGCCACAGGGTCCCCAGATATTTAGTCAAACATTATTCTGGGTATTTCTGTAAATGTGTTTTTGGATGAGATTGACATTTTAGTTGATAGAGTAAAGCAGATTGCCTTCCATAAGGTGGTAGACCTTATTCAATCAGTTGAAGGTCTGAATAGAACAAAAAAACCCAACTCTCCTCCAGGTAAAAGGAAATTCTCTAGTAGATTGCCTTCAGACTTCATCTGTACCATTGGCTCTATTGGGTCTCCACCTGCTGGCTTTCAGACTGAAATTGTACCACTGTCTCTCCTGGGTCTTGAACCTGCCAGCCTAAACTGCAGATTTGGACTTGCCAAGCTCCATAATCAGAAGAGCCAATTCCTAATAATCAATTGATCAAGCTCTCTCTTTCTCTGTCTTCATACATATCTAAATACACACACATACGTGTATATATCTTATTGGTTCTATATTTCTGGAGAACCCTAACTGACACAGATTGCCAACACTAAGATGACAGAGATGATAAGAGGAGAAAAATCACAGGTCAATAATAAAATGACAAATTAACCAATTTTAAAATGGGAAAAGAATCTGAATACACATTTCTCCAAAGAAAATATATAAGTGGTGCAATAAGCACATAAAAGATGCTCAATATCATAAGTCATTAAAGGAAATGCAAATCAAAGCCAAAATGAAATACCACTGTGGATAAAAAGGAACACTCATGCACTGTTGGTGGGAACACAAACTGGTGCAGCCGCTCTGGAAAACAGTATGGAGGTTCCTCAAAAAGTTAAATATAGAACTACCCTACAACCCAGCAATTGCACTACTGGGTATTTACCTCAAAAATACAAGAACAATAATTCAAAGGGATACATGCACCCCAATGTTTATACCAGCATTATTTATAATGGCCAAGATATGGTAACAGTCCAAGTGTCCATTGATGGACAAATGGATAAAGAAGATGTGATATAGATAGATAGATAGATAGATAGATAGATAGATAGAGATAGAGATAGATATATATGAATATGAAATCTTGCCACTTGCAACAATATGGTTGGAGCTAGAGAGTATTATACTAAGTGAAATAAGTCAATCAGAAAAAGACAATACCATATGATTTCACCCGTATGTGGAATTTAAGAAACAAAACAAATGAGCAAATGGAAAAAAGAAAAAAAGAAACAGAAACAGAAAGACAAACCAAGAAATAGACTCTTAACTATAAAGAACAAACTGATGGTTACCAGAGGGGACATGGGTGGGGGAATGGGTGAAATAGGGGACGAGGATTAAGGAGGGCACTTGTCATGATGAGCACAGGGTGATGTATGGAGGTGCTGAATTACTATATTGTACACCTGAAACTAATAAAACCCTGTAAAAAATAATAGAAATCACTTATATCATGAATGAATGAATATTTTAAAAATTAAATTTTAATTTTACTAGGATGCTTAAAATTAAAAAGACAGCCGATAACAAGTGTTGATGAGAATGTAGAGAATTTAGAATGCTTGTACACTCCTGCTGGGATGTAGGGTGCTGCACCCACTGTGGAAATCAGTCTGGCAACTCCTCAAAAGGTTACACACAAAGTTACCATATGATCTAGCAATTCCATTCCTAGGCATATACATAAGGGAAATAAAAATATATTCCACACAAAAACTTGTGTACATTTATTCATAGTAGCATGATTCATAATGTAGAAAAGTTGAAACAACCCAAATTTCCATCAACTGATGAAATATAAACAAAATATGGTATATTCACTTAATGGAATCATATTTGATAATAAAAGCAATGAGATACTGACACTTGCTACAACATGGACGGACCTTAGAAACACAAAACACCATAGAAACACTATGATTCCATTTATAGGGAATGTCTAGAATAGACTAACAGAGACAGAAATATATTAATGGTTGCCAGCAGCTGGAGGATGGAAGAATGGGGAGTGACTGCTAATGGACACAGGGTTCCTTTTTGGTGGACAAAAATCTTCAAAAATTAGATAACGCTGATGGTTGCACAACCCTGTGACCATACAAGAGCCATTAACTGAATACTTTAAATTAGTGAATTTCATGGTATGCAAATTATATATCAACAAAAGTGCTTTTTGGAAAAAAAAATCCATAAAAGAAATCTCTAGACCCAGATTGTAGAATTCTACCAATTATCTAAAAAAGAAATAATACCACTTACATAAACTCTTCTAGAAAATGGAAGAGGAGAAGCTACTTCCTAATTCCTTTTCTAAATCTTGTATTGCCCTCATACCATACCAGACAAGACAATTCAAAAGAGAAGGAAATCACAGACCCAAAGCCCACATGAATATAGATGCCAGAATCCTTAATGAAATATTAACCAATAGAATTAAGCAATATATAAAAATAATTATATACCATGACTATGTGGGGTTTATTCCAAGGATGTCAAGCCATTTCAAAATTCAAAAGTCAATGTAATCCACCATATTAACAGACTAAAGAAAAAAATCACATTATCATATGCAGAAAAAATATTTTATAAAATTCAACACCCATGCATGATAAAACCTCTCAGAAAAGTAGGAATAGGGGAACTGCCTCAATATGATAAAGGGCATCCACAAAAAAACAAAAAAACTTGCAGTTAACATTGTATTTAACAGTGAAAAACTGAATGATTTTCCCTAAGATTAGGAACATAGAAATATATCTGTTCTCCCCATTCTTATTTAACATAACGCTGGAAGTTTCAGCTAGTGCACTAAGGCAGGAAAAGGAGCTGGAAGGCATAGAAACATATGTAGGACTTGTATGCTGAAAACTACAAAATGCTGATTAAAGAAATCAAAGGTAATCTGCATAAACTGAGAGATATACCATGTTCATGGATTGGAAGACCCAACATAGTAAAGATGCCAATTCTCCCAAATAGAATAAAATGGGAAAGATCAGTCTACCTGGTTTAAAAGATTTATTTACAGCACAACTACAGTAATGAAGATTGTGTGGTATTGGTAGAGAGGGACACACAGATCACTGGAACAGAAACAGACCCACAGGGCATCTGCCTGGCTAAGTCAGTGGAGCAGGCAACTCTTGATCTCAGGATTCAAGCCCCACATTGGGTATAGAGCTTGCTTTAAAAAGGAAAGAAAAAGAAAAAACAGACCCACACAAAATACACCCAACTTTTTGGGCAGAGGTGCAAAAGCAATTCAATGGAGAAAATATAGCCTTTTCAACAAGGGGTGCTAGAGGAACTGGACATTCATAAGCTCAAAAGGTGAAGAAGGAAGAAAGGAAAGAAGGAAAGGAAGAAGGGAGGGAGAGATAGGAAGAAAGAGAGAGAGAGAATCTCAACCTAAACCTCACACTTTATACAAAAATTAACTCAAAATGGATCACAGACTTGCATGTAAAATGTAAAACAATAAAACTTTCTTTTAAAAAAATGTAGGCGAAAATCTTCAGAATTTAGGAGTTGGCAAAGAGTTCTTAGACTTGACCCGAACAGCCCAATCCACAAAAGGAAAAATTGATAACTGGACTTATATCAAAATAAACAATGCTTGTTCTGTGAAAAAAAATGCTTGTTCCATGAAAGACCAGCTGAAGAGTATGAAAAATCAAGTTAATGACTAAGAAAAAATATTTGCAAACCGCGTATCTGACAAAGAACTAGTTTCTAGAATATATAAAAATTCCAAAGTAAAATAACAATCCAAACAGATTGTGGACAAAAGCTATGAAGAGAGATTTCACTGAGGAAGACATAGGAATAGCAAATAAGTATGAAACGATGCTTAACATCATTAGCCATTAGGAAGTGCAGACTAAAACCATAATGACACATCAGTACACACTTACCAGAATGGCTGAAGTTAAAAACAATGACATCAAATACTGGTGAGGATGCTACATTATTCACACACTGCTGGTGGGAGTGTAAAAGGATACAGTCCTCTGGGAAATTTTTAATTTCTTA